GTTTGATAGGTGCAGACGCGCTCGCGATTGCGTGGACTGTATGAGGACGTAGGCTTAAAAGTAGGAGCGCCCCAAACATGATTAATGCCACACAAAAGGCGGAAAACTAGGTTAAGATTGAGCTTAAGGCGTCTCGGCCAAGGTGGGCCGATTTTCAGTTTCTTACACCTTCCCACATAATCAGGTTCTTCGTGGCGCCCCAATACATGGCGAGTAAAGTTTCTGTAAATATTCACAGTGTGTATCCTACCCAAAGTATACACACTGCCAAAGATGATTTTTCTATATTCAAGTACTGGGTGGATCATTACTTTGAATAAAAGCAGTCTAGCCTCAGTGGTATGTACTTATGCAGGCAAAAGGCCAACTGAGCGCCTGCACTTGGAGGCGAGGGACCGGGCATACTCCGTAAACGTTAAGTTCCGAGAATACCTGACACCAAAATCACATGCTGATTTGTGTGATTGCGGCTTTGGGGGGGGGGAATAGGTGTGACTGAACCTTACAGTTTGAGTACGCTGTCTAAGGAATGAGCTTACCAACGATAACAGAGGGCCACTAATTCCAAATGACTGAAGCTTCAGAATTAACGGATTATGAGACACTTTATCAAATGCTTTTTTGAAGTCAAAAAGTAGGGCAATCACGTAAAAACCTTCATCCCGTCTGCAGGTGACCCCCTCAAAATAATCCGGTGAGCAAGCACTGCATGAACGACCTTATAAGAAACCATTGTGCACAGGGGAACGTAGCTGATGCGCAGCCACGTAATCATTGATTTCTCGCACAACCACCTTCTCCATGATACGAGAGACTACAGATGTAATATTTATGGGACAATAATTTTGAATATCTGACGTTGGGCCAGATTTATATGTGGTAGTAGTCACACACATATCTCATACAGAATCAGCATGGTTTCATTCAGACAAAAAATTTCAGTGACTGAAGCCAGTGAGGCGGCGCGACAGTTGCTGCCGAATGGAAACACGAGCCTGCGTTTTGCTGTCTGTGAAACAGAATTTGGAGGCTACGGAATGTCACCATAAAAGCACCAAGACGGCAGTCTTTGTAGAATGGTTGTAATAATTGAGTGATGATATGTATGCAAGAATGGAAGTAGTCAACGTTAAACTGCTGCACTGTTGTTTCGAGAGGTGAATAGTGAGCATGCCTCTAAGCAATCGGGTAACAGAAGGGTGAAGGACTGGGATGAGGAACAATCTTTCCAAAAATTTGACGCGTTTCATGAAGGCTGTCCTCACGAATGGCTTTCTTCCGTGTTGCTTACTCCGACATGTAGGCACTGTCAAAAACTTAGACAGAGGTTACGGTCCTGCATACTACAGCAGTATGCAAACGCGAAATCCTTTTGTCTTCGGCCGCAAGTATGCAGACTGAATGTTGACAATGTTTTGGAGATATAAAAGTTACGAGGAAGGTTGGTTGCAGGAAACAATTTTCAGAACATTGGGACGTATTATTCTAACAAAAGCAGATTACCACAGTAGTTGTATGATGCCGAGTATTTGTTGGAAAGCAAAGCCTGGCCCAATACTGCCGGTGAGTTATCGGGTTCCATATAAGTGAAGCACGAATTAGTAATCTACTAACGTTGACCTAGTTCAAATGTGCCACCGATTAGTTCCAGTAATTACAGAACGAATTGCTTATAAATAGCTTGTAGTCCGTGAAATGCAAGGGAATAAGACGGGCAATGTGGTGGATAGTGACTATACTTATAAATCGAAGTAACATAATGAGGTTGACGCCAGTTTACAGGCATCATAATGTAAATGATACTTCAAAGAATACAACCATCCTATAATCTTGACTAGTGCAGGGAGCAAGCCAGCAAGGATTACAGTGGTATTACTTATGAAACGGAAAAGAATTATCATCTTTCGCTACATAGATAGGGTTTATGAGTGGACATTATTGCCCTCGCTTTTGCCTTCCGTAGGTTGCACCAGTGCTGCGTAATATTCGATGGAAGCGTGACAACTGGTCAACATGATTTATTCGTAACCATAGTTTAATATTTCTTCAGACAGTTGGGCATTTTGGCACCACACTTTATGCCCATGACTGTGGCCACCATATAGCACTCATGTGTATGGCTTGGGGGTATCAGTGGGCAACCCCGCCGTTACATGATCTTAAAGAATAAACATATTCAAGCATTTCATGCCCTCCGTGTGTCACATTTCACAGAAATACAGGTTTATTACACAGGAAATACATGTGGCATTGCATAGAAAAGAACATTAGGAAAATGATCATCTAGATGACGATATGTGGCGTAAAGGTTTCAGGGATGTTTCATATTAAGGTATGCAGCATTATTCAAGAAGTGCATTCGCCACACATTGGTTTACACCTGGTGAAGTCACATGATACAGAATACCAGAAAAACCATGGTGCAGCATTATTGCGCATAAGTTGCTTTTATAGTCTTAAGGTAGATTAATCTCTTGCATATTGTTATTTGTTTAGATTTCTTCCACCACTTTATTTGTTCCTTGGACTTTAGCCATTCGTTGTAAGAAAGACTACGTAAAACGTCGTTTGAGCGGCACTGATACTCTGAGTCAATTCTGAAAGAAGACCAGAAGCGAAAAAATTACTACACTAGTAAAAAGCTTGGAGTAAAAGAGGAGCTCCCGTTCTTTCGAAACCCATTCAGAAGTAGTGTACATATGATGTACGCGCATGTAGAGTAACTTTATTTATCTTCTATTGTGAGTTTAGTATCAATTTTCAGATAGGCAGCGTTCAGTAGTGGATCTGGAAGAAAATCTAAGTGCACATTATGCTCATTCACACTTCTCTAACTTGTGAGACAGGCAGCCAAGAGAAACCATTTTGTGATCACTTTTGAAATATTCACTGCTGACATGGGTAGTTACCGGAATGACTTAATGGGCGAATATTGTTACCACGAGCAGGTGCTTGGATTTATTGCACACATCCAAGATATGTGAAAGTAAGTATTTCCTCGAAGCTCTGCGGACCGCAGTTGCGTATAAAGTTAATTTCAAGAAGTCTGAAGACTTGATTGATCGCTTTAAAACCTACACTGTTCGAGGGAGGATTAGAAAATGATTTGGCCAAAAGTGGACAAGATTCTGCTGTTGACCATGTTAATCGATATACGAACTCTATAAGAATTTCGCATTTGTCATCACCTAAAATGACGTTCAGCGGGTCAAAAATTGTACTTTATATTTTCTTCGTCTTTAGTTGTCGCAACTGGATTGAATAAGTAATTGGGACAGCCACCGTCACCAGTTTAGTCTCGGTTTTTGCAATAGAGAGTGCACCTGTCTATGCATAAACCTGAGCTCAGGATGCAAGATGGTTACTCCTATTTGGTTATCAGTCCCCCATATTAAACGCGTTTTTGTCAAAAGTGTTTAATCGTGAGTAAACTGAGTTATGCGCTCATTAGAACACAAAGGCCGACCAAGCACTGATAAACCTCATAAAACGTATCTGTAGTACATAAGGCAGTGTCCTAGCGAGATCTTGAGCAACCACATATGGGACTTACGACCACAATTCTTCCTTGTTTACTTCAGGGACAGGAACCATTCGAAAACCATTAAGACACAGCGTGCTGAGTTACATTGTGGAATTTGGTTCGAACTAATTGAAAAAGTTGCCAGGTATTTATTGGAATATAAACATCTAATGGTTAACTCTGTGAAGGTGTGCAGCAATGTTAGTAACCTGGGATACCCGCACTACTGCCTACTCGAGATGTAGCAGCCAGAAGAATGTAGAGTGGCGATTAGGTGTACTGCTTCTCCCTACATTGGGCTGTATTTCTGGTGAAGATGTCTCGGGCTAATTCACGATCGTCTTTCACGCTTAAACTCGGTATCAATTCAAGATTATTGAACAAGCTTACTAATTTTTATTTCGTACAGCTAGGTGAACGAGCAAAAGATGAAGTGGACTTTTGCTTCTGGGTGAGAAAGCTAGTGAGGCAAGACCCTTTCTTGTACCTGTTGGAGCCATTCTAAAAGATGGGCCTTTTTGGAGGAGCAAAATTGTTCACTGATGAATGTGGTTCAGTAATACAGCACAAAACCCCTTAGGAACTCTTAGTTGAGTTTGGTTGAACTTAGCACAACTGTTAGTATTCAGGGTGCCTTGAATCTTCTCACTTCCGAAAAGCCGATTCTACATGATTTAGAGCCTCAACAGTTTAAATGTTACGTATGCTGGTAACAGATTTGAAGACATTTTGCACTAATTGCCTCCCGTATCCATGTGTAAAAAACTTAGAGAAAGAGACTGTGGTTAATGTAGAAAGAAAAAGTTACCATTGAACTCCCAACTACACCATGAAAGAAAGCTACCTTTCAGCTTCTGAAAAGATACACAAATAAAAATTCAGGCCTCAAAACGGTACAGCAAGAACTGGAGTTTAAGGTGAACACCAACTCGACATTTGAAGAAGCCAACTGCACCACAGTCCAAGGCGAACAAACCACCAGTTAACTTCCTGTTCTGTAAATCAGAGGTATTGCAGACCAGTGGCTAGATCTACTGCATCGGAATCCGCCAAAGATCTGGAACCGTTCCGCAAGACCAAGAAGCAAGGAAGAAGAAACAAACTGGTTTACTTATGCTCGCTAAAAAGATATTGGAGATATTGTATATTGGAAAAGGTTTCATTCCGATGTTTTTCGAAAGTCTGAGGCCAATTTATCGGGAGCCGTAATCAAATTCTGGGTTACAGTTGGGTTGATATACAAGCTTACTTCGTGCAGATGTATAATGAACACTCAGGATGAAATATTTGTGATAGACAAATCCGGATCATCACAGTAACTTGCCAACTTATGGTTATAACCACTGTCTAGTGATGAGCAACAACCTGATATCATATATGATTTCACGGAGCCCAAGGAAATACAGGCCTCAACCAACTCCCAAATTTCCGGAACCGGAGATCAGTTCAAGGAAAGCGATATCATGAAGCGGATTTTATGAACAGGTTTAGGCCTGGAAGGTTGTCGTAAGTAACGTCTACTGTATACTTATTCATTCAGGCGGGAATTGAGAAACGCACTGGATTTAGGGAGACATGATATTCCGATACATATTTACCGCATGAGGACCCTTGGCTATCCTCCTGGTTGGCTTAAAAAAGCTGTGGTTGGAGGAAATTTGACGATATTTGATTCCGTCAATCTGGAAAGTTGTCCATCTGAAAGTAAGTTGCGTGTGTTACTTGGGTTTGTTTTCAGGTCAAGAGCTGCATAGTTATGGACCAACATGAGTTTCTTCCCAGAAGTACTAAATTTTGCAGTATGCGTGTGTCTGTATAGGTCTGGACGTGATCTGTAGTATGATGCTCGGAAATATAGTTATATGACTTGAAAAGATCTCAAGAATTCGCCATCTACATGAATTCAGATATTACTGGATGACCATCCAATTTCTCTAATCAATGTCGAAGCATAGACTGTTCTTTTTTAGTAGCCTCGGTTACTAGATGCTAGGTGACTCATGTTACGACGTCTTGTTTCCAGCTTGTTCATTGTCTTTTGAGTTATTTAATGCCGTACTAGTTATCACAGACAAAATCATACGGTGGTATGAGTTTGGATGAAGCTGATGAATAACGACAAGATTCAACGAACATGCCAGGTGCCTTGGAGTACCAATCACTGCTGCTGGGCTACCCACCATGTTATTAGCAATAAACAATGTAGATCTGCTGATGTTTTTCACCATTTCTGAATGATGGTCCAGTTGGGTGGCAGAAAATCTGCCACTGGTGGAAATCTGACTTAAGTGACGTAGAGAAGCTGTTGATAACTGCATATTCAGGTATTCTGTTCGCTATAAATGGGGACCTGCATGTGATGATATGTTATCATTATATCTTTTGTCTATTATTAAGCACCTCTAAGTCGAAATTATTTGACAAAAACTACACTTATATGCCACTGCTTAGAAAAGATCTGTCCGAGCAACTGCTGCAGATGCGGAAAACATTATGGTTTATACCGCAATAGTTCTAGCGTTGCAGGGGCGTTACAGTTAGGAAGATAAACCCACTTACTGGTCTTGGTGGTGTAGGAGTGATTATCGAAGTTGATAATACGGTACTAGTTAAGAGAAAGTATAAAAACGCTTGGCTGCAAATCATGTTCGGGTTACAGGATTTTATGATACAAGTTTGAGGAAAGGTTTAATGAAGAGGATTGGAAGTAGCCGCAAATAGTATCATTCCTTTATACAGCGTTCGCTTCCTGGAGCAACAATTCTTAGATCAGTGATCTACCTATCAAGGATTAAGCATGCTTGGTTATTTGGATCACATTGTTAACCGTACCTCTGAATTTACAGACCCTGTTGGAGGAACATACAAATTCCGTCAAAACGTTTTAATCACGACTTAAAGAATAGGAGCGATTCGCGTCCTTAAAAATAAAGTGATCTACAGCGATTGCAACGTATTCATGTGCCAAAATCGAAATCTAGACGGACGTATGCATAACTGCAACAATTTTTCGGCGTGCTGCTGAGAGCTATCTTGTATGAGTAATTTCCATATATATATATATATATATATATATATATATATATATATATATATATATATATATATATATATATATAATATACTTATTAGCTCTGCACATATAGTGGGCTCTACTGTAGGGAATTAGTAACTGTATGCAAGACATGGAAAGGTTGAGAGAGGAAGATGTGTATATAATTACTTTTGTAAGGTTATAGTTGAATGTTTTCTGTTGTAAGATATCAGCTGCAATACTTGCACTACTTGCTATAAAAATGCTGATATCGAGGTTAGATTTAAACTAAGTGATCAACATTGATCCAGAATTTATTGATAATTAGTGCGTTCTTTTATATATCCCATTTCCGCCACTTCCTTATTGTGCTTATTACCTTGTGTATTTTCTTTTTTATCACCAAAGTTTCCTACAACAAGAGTTCTCTCATTGGTTATCCTGGATTCAATGTTGAATTGGATCATTCTGCCAGGGATGATTATATGTATTTAAAATGTCCACCGATGCAAAAGCACCATATGTTGGATAACTTTTATGCTTCTCTATCATGTGGAGCAACTGAGAAGAATAGCGTCGCACCAAAGAATAGCAATTACTCATGTAAGTTTTGTAGTTCATTATGTAGCCGGTTACACACTTTCAAATACAGCTTTGTATTCCAACTCCCTCATGGTTATTGATCTATAAATTGGCCTTTTGTTTAATAGCAATGACAGCTTTGCACAAAATGTAGGGAATCGTATTAATGTACATAACTAGCAAAACCGTCGACATCGGTCACTTAAGGCACTTTTAAAACAAATATGGAACAAACACAGATCATCTGTTTGGGGTTAGATATCTTAGCTTCATATATCTTATTCACTATTATGGGAAGGGTACTAGACAAGGAAAACAAGTCAGTCGATGAGGTTGTGAATGCTCAGTGACAGAGATGGCTCGGACATGTGCATGCCGAGGCACCGCCCACATCGACCTTGAATATCGATCGAAGTAGGATTAGGGTAGAAGAAGGCTCAGAATATTCCAGATTAAGAAGTAACGCCAACTGATGAAGTGTTTGACTGTTTGTCTTATCTGTGTGAGGAGGTTCAGACTGCTTGATTGGGGTCATCGAGACAATAGGAATCAACGGTTAGTGGTGCTCGGCGAAGTGATCGAAAATCAGTGAAGCAAAACTATTCAATCTCTAACACTTTTAAATGTCTAAACATTTATATTGACCTTGATATTCAAATTACTTCTTCTGTACACTTATCTACTTTGAAATGTTTTTTCTACCTACTCGTCTACATGCTACTTTGAATTGTGTTAACTTGAGCTGGTGCACTATTGTGTGACATTCTACGCTGATTTTGTCGTTCGGTCTGGGGTCAGTCACCTTCATAAGTTATTAGCTTTTTCACTCCAGTTATAGTAAGATATTGACAGTTTGTTGTACATGTTCAACATAGAAGTATGTATTCTTTTGTTCCTTATTAGGCTGGATATTTTCTGTTATCGTAGCTCCATATTAAGATGAAAATACTCTTGGTACTGTTATCCTACGATTGGGGACAAAAGAGTTTGGCAAGTATTCCATGTCTGAGTGCATTTGGAATAGAATATTGTGTTACCTTATTTTTATTTTGAAGTCACCGAACCACTATATTTTACGCAGTAAACAGACTTTTTTAACTTTACATAGTCGATGATCCTTATGCTTTGTGTGCTTGTCAATCAGTGTATTTGAAGGAATTGCAAACGCTGGTTATTTCATCTGAAATTTATTCCATCTTTCAATGGTGTCTTTACCATCATTGTACTGCAAACCATTGACCACCAGGGTTTGGATCGTCAAACCCTGATGAGTCATATTATCTGCTAAGGTCAAGTAAATTAACATGCAACTTTTCTGTTCAAAATACATTCATTGCTTAAAACCTTGTTGTAAAAAGTGAAGCTTGTTCTATCAATCAGTATTATATTTATGTGTACCAAGCTTTCAGTTAAAACTGAAAGTGCACCTGTAAAGGACATGAGACTACGTTTGAAAAGTTGACACTGGCTATTCAAACCGGAAAAGAAAGAAAAACTAGTGTACTTGATGAGTGAGGGTAAAACGTTTTGGGTATAGAAAGCTACAGTTCATTTGGTGTTGGTAATACCAAGCAAGCAACTGCTGTATATCATGTGTTTAAATTATTAAAGCTTGTTGACTGGCTATACACACTGTGAGGTTGTTGTTTTCATTTCTGAAAAGAGAAACCAAAGTATTTCGTTGAGCAACAAACGAGTTAATGGTGTTAGTGCTGTTCAAATTAGCTTTTAGGAGTCAATCGTCGTCGTATATGAGTGCAAAGTCTAACATCGTTGATGTTAACCTTGATGCAAAAGGTCTGGTATACGGCAGGTTGGTGCAGGCACCTGTGCTCTCCTCTTGTGTGAAGAAATCTGTCTTCTTCAAGGTGCGGATTTTTGACGACTGTGTCTTCAATCGCCATTGTTTCCGTATGATTCCTCGCATCCAGTCGATGCATAAGGTAGGTAATTCTTAGGTAATATGGTGTGTTTGGGTGTGATGGATGTTATCATTGACTGAGTGAAGTCATCTTAAAGGAGCAATTTTAGTGACTTGGGTGTGTTGCCCATGACGTCCCAGTGGCTCCCAAAACGTTCGTTGTTCGCTCACTCTCGGACTAGTCAGAAGAAACGGAGAAGTGGGTAGTGTATGACCTCGCCCTGAGGGATAAGGGGTAATTGTATCAAGTTAGCACCTGCAGGTGCTCACAACCCTGTGGACTAGGTCTGACCTCATGTGACTCGGTGAAACGTGACGCTAACAGACGACTTTTGAGTCGGAAGCAGTGGTGTTTATACTGCAGTTCCCTTGTTTCTTTTATTACTAAAAAGCAAAACTCAAGTAGTAAGTGCTTCTTCAGACTGCTTCTCTGATAACCCACTTCTGTTTTTGTTTCTATTTTATCTTCCCTTTTCTATGTCTTCATAATTTTGCGTTAATACTTTTTTTGATGCATCTCGAAGCACGCATTTTTTTGCTAATTTTGTGTTTTGGTAACTGTATTAATGGTGGTGTCGATAATATATATATATATATATATATATATATATATATATATATATATATATATATATATATATATGATAGTTTTGCGTAGTTCTTTCAACAAATATGTTCTGCCCACTTTATTGGTTTCACAGCTTGGAGTAGACAAGAAATAACTGAAACTGTTGTAACACTCTCCGACTCTGAATCTGGTGAAACTAATTCGGACAGCTCACTAAATGGAGAAACTCAAAATGAGAGTCAAGAATCTCATCCTACTGCAGATATCTCGATAGTTCATGAACATGAACAGGGAACACCTACATCGCTACAACCTGTGGTCATTGGAAACGGTTCTCTTAGTGAAAATACTGATCAGTCATCATTTTCGATGGAAAATCCTTCTAAGCGTCCGTCTTTGGAAGCCTTCAGTATAGGTATACAACCTTTCAGGCCTTTTGAAAATCTTCAGGGTGTGAATGGTGGCTATCTACGTGTTCTCAAAGCTCTAAAAAATTCACGTAAAACTTCAAACGCCTGTAGCAATGGATCATTAAATTTGTCTGGTGCCGACTCTCAGTCACCATCTATTCGGCAGGATCGTAATATTGATAATCATTCCTCTCATAAAGCGAGGAGATAAATAAGACGTTTCTTATTAATTTCTAAATTTCACTGTATTCAATTCAGAAAAAATTGTCATTTGAAAAATACGTTTTTGTAAATTATTTTACTTGTTCACAATATACATTTTCTGTAAGTATTGAATCACTCTGATTTTTCTCTTTGTTTCTTTTCTGTAAACTGACTAACCCGCTAATTTGTAGTTCATTACTTCAACAGCCTTATAAGTAGTAATCAAATAGTCATTAAACGTTGTTCTACCATATTTTCATTTGTTTATTGTCAAAATTTGGATACAGATAATATTATCACATGTCTGCTTTTTCAGGAAGAAAGGATTTGAATCAATTCATCTAGGTACCTTGGTTCTGGGCATTTCGATTTTGGACTCAACTTCACTGACCAATCTACTCTATGTATTTTGGTAGAATCATTACTTGCATTATAAAAAGTATTCATTCCCTAAGATCCTAGAAAAAGTTTTCACGTCATCATTTGGCTGCACGTCTTTTTCGTTATTACTATAGGTTGGCACTGTTTGAACTTCTGATGTATTTGTAAACTCGTGTGACGAAAATCCTCTGACTGGAGTGCCATTAATCATATACAAATTTTGAAAATGGTATTTTTTTTAACTCATCAGACAGGAAAAAGGTGTAGAGCACTTAGTACTTTTAATAACTCAGGTTTACTGTTATTCGCCATATAACTGAAATTTTGAAGTTTCACACTTATTATTTAGGCCACTGTTGTCAAAATCTTCATCGACGCTAGTATTGCATAAAACAGAAAAATCTGTTTACTTCTTCTTTGGGCTTTTGGTATACTGTTATCGTAAACAGTCAAAGGACAAAAAGTTCCTAGGTCTTTTTCGAAACTTTTGTGAACTTCAATTTTATGTATAACACTGCAGTCTTGATAGCTTCTTATCGTTGTATTCGACTTAAACGGTGTAGTGTAATCGAATATGTTTTGCATAAAATTGTGTTATTTATAAGCGGTTCTAGGTGTAATATAGTAATTTAGGAACTTGTAGCTGAAATACTGCCCTTAATTGTTTACTGCAGATCGTTTTGTTGCATTTCCGGTTTCGTCCAGCACCCCAGGTTTTTCTTATGCTAATCACTTCTGTTTGTCTAACTATTTATATGGGACAAGGTGGATGGCACTTTGTGCGCATGTATTCACTGCCTTTTTAGTATACGGATTGGACTAAAATAAAGTAAACACATGCTTAGATGGCAGATCAAAGTAGCACTCGGATCTGAGCTATCACTTTTGCTAGTTGAGGCATATGTAAAAAGGTACATTTCTCGGTTGTAATCTATACAAGTAGTGATCGAAGAACCCGTGTGACATGGTTGAAAACAGATAACAATGGACTTTACGAGTCCCACTTAAGGTATCCAGTGTACATCACTTTGGATTTCACTAACCCTCACATCAGTTCGCACCAGAATCGCGAAGTATGTAGGGGTGGGTATATGAGCGAAAAACGTAAGGTTGTTTTGATGAAGTATAGATTAGTTAGTATCTGATGGTACTTAATCATTCAGCTTCATCCCAGCAGTCTTCTCTTTTGGAGTTGATCAACACTAGACACGTGGAAGTTGTTGGCACCAATTCATTAGTGCATACACCTAGTTGCAATTTGCTACAGTTAAAGTCAGTTCATTGGGGATTGTTTCCGAGTTTGATACACATGTTGATTCTGAATATGCTTTATTTGTATGCTTACTTCGGTAGACTGAAAAAATCCAGTTTATACTGCTTGTAGTGTTGATGAGTCAGTTTCTGTACAATAGGCGGACTTTATATGTGAACGTCGCATCCCTTTTTCCACTGTGATGTTATCTAGCCAATGATCGCGAGTTGTATAAGACTACGAGATTCATTTTCACAAGGTGTGTATGGTGTCATGAAATCGTTGAGTAGCAGTAAGGTCGGCACTGTGTTTTCATGGTACACTTTAATGGTATGGTTATGATTGCAAATCGAATGAAAATATAATATGCTGAACATTCATAATGACAGCTTGTATGAATGCTCTCATTTGGGTGAGAAGTGTTCTTACTTTGATTTAAGACACTGTGAATGTATTAAATAACTGAATGCATGTAGTAGTATAAGCAAGTCAGATGAGGTTTGGGAAGTGCAATACAGCTCAATTTGTTACAGTTTATGCCTTGGGCTATAAACCACATTTATTGTGTTAGACATTGTGCGGGGTTTGAACCTGGTGGTTGAGAATTGAATACCTAACCCAATGAACCGCATCTCTACTGGGTCCGAGAAATAACGGAAATCACTTGGGAGGGATACGAGTAAAGAAAATCAAAACTGGTTCTAACATGGATTGACATCTTATTGTTCCTAACACCCAAAGTCCCCCAATGTCTGTCTTTCTTCTAACTTGTTTTATATTTAATCATGCTGGCTTTAATTGTCTGTTTTCTAGAAGTATATGCAGAAGGGCTATCGCAACTTCATCTGTTTAGTTTAGGCTTAGTTGTCTCATCACTGAAATTCTATCTCGTCTATTTTGGCTTAGACAACCAACTGATATCATTGGTCGTCACATTAACATCGTTCATAGCATAGTGAACAAGCATGTGAAATTTCTCTGTGTCACACCTTGTTTTCATTTCTAACTGCTGACTTAGATTGTAATGTATGTTGCAATTAACGTCAACGCTCTTTATGAAGTTCAATGTTTTGTGTTTTTAACCCAAGTTTACTAGTTCGTGAATCTTAGCTTTTCATACTGCAGTGGAACAATGTAACAATTATCGAAATCAGTTTAGCCTGAGATATACATTGACAAATCAGAGTCACTGTCATACTTAGAGACATATTCAATCTTCTTTACCTTTAATGTTGGACATTATTTATCGTAGCTGGGTTTCTGTTTGAACCAATATGTGAGTTCGAATTCAGTCATGACTGTATATTTGACTGCTACAAAAACTGACGTGATATTGGAGCTAAGGGGATACAAAACTCCTAACATATAAATGCCTTTTTTTAACCAGGAAATCCGACTCATATATCCATACTAACGACAGAAATAATTGTCGTAATCTCTTTTTAATATCTGTTGGACTGCTATCTCTGGTTTCTATAGTAAAGGGTATTTAGACAGGTCTTGATGATTCGGGCCTTTACCTCAAGCTTCGTTGATAGTCAGCCGGATACATACATTGACAGTATGATAGTGTGACTGTTGGAAATTAACCGGGTAGAATTTTTAAGCTGATGCTTGCCTTACAACTAATCATTTGCTGTCTTAATTCAATGAATATTCGCTAATGGAAAGGTATACCACAATATAATGCATTTCTATGGAGCTCTGACTCTATGTCTAGATACCTGATTGCCAACGGATCCGAGGGCCGCTCCACCTGCCAAGGTCTTGGTAACCAGGTAGTATTACTAACCCTCACACAATAGGTATGGCTTATTCCATACTGCTCGAATGTGCAAAACATTGTTGCGTGCATACTTCTTACAGTTCTGTAACACAGGCTTATGTGGTAGGCTATTAAGTATACCTTATGTGTGAATGCTTAAGATACTGTTTGGTTTTATGAAAGTGTTAGTGCAATTTGTTTAAAGGTATGATAAAACTGCTTGCTGAGTATCCGAAGCATTGATCAACTGCTCTAAAACACCTTGAGAGAATTTCCTTAGGGTACTCTGTTTTATTTCTCTGTGTCATTTCTTTTACGATTTGATATTACGAGGTTTGGTATATCCACCTCACCAAAAACGTAGGTTTATAAAGTCAACTCTTTCCTTGGTAATATGTGTAAAAGGGATATTTTTCCAAGAATCAGTCACGTCCTACTGACTGGTTTCTCTCCTACGCCTCTGATCTCAAGGTTATACTACCTACTTCTGTTTAATATAGCAGTTATGAATACTGCAGAAGAGAGAAGCTTTACTTTCGTTTGTGGAAACACTCAAACAGTTACGTTTTAGTAGAGGAAGTGGGACATATAATGATGTCATTTCATGTTGAACAGGAGGATAGTGAGTTTTATGATGTAATCGAAATGCGTTTGTCGCAATTAAGGGACCTTCACATGAAGTGGAATATTTTAAGTTTGTTTGTTTTTATTTTCCATCAATTAGTTTTTAATAGAAATTCATGTCTTAGTGTGATTTGTTTATATTATCTTTTCACTAAAGATTTGACCACGTCATGATCCCATCGAGGGGTAAATGTCCAAGGCGAAGATCTAGTCATGTTCAGTTGACTGAGAAAGAAATTAATGATTTCATTGCTCATAATGATGAAGATGAAGGTAGTGGAAGCGATTGGGATGATGTAGGTGAAACAGACTTATCAACTATACTATCGAATTCAGCTATCGCTCCAGAAGATGTTATTACTAATCGATCTCTTGAAACGGTTTGTTCTGATTACAAAGATGTTGGTAGAGGCATCAAAGGTAAATCTGTTGCATTCGTTTTCATTTTTATTTTAGCTATGCATAAAGCGGTAATTCACAGTAGTACGGAGTTGTTTGTACTTTCTCAGTTACTCGATTGGTTGAATGTTACGTACCGAAATGAGCTGTTTCTAGTTCTAGAACAAGTTATTAATTTTATTGTATTCTTGTGTACTAATTGTATCGAAACGTCAAAGCTGAATGCATCAAGTGTTTGTAGTATGGATATGGATGACTAGAAATGAGGTATATTTTGTGTTAATATGCAGAATCTTATAGAGGTGGTATATGGAACTTGTTCCAGCAATACTCGCCGCTGGGTTTTTTGCGATGCGTTAGCACTCAGGATAGAATAGAGTGAATCGGTTTTTCGCAAGTCACTTCACTTGTGTACACTTGCTTTGTTGTAATTGGTCCACTTAATACAATTTTAATGCTGTATGCATTTCATTAGGAAAAGGGTTGGTGTGTTTATATGGGAAAATGTCGCGTCAAAAATTTCAAAGCAAATTAAGAAAATTAAACACGATAGACTAGTGGTGTATAGTATTACTTGTATAGTAAATGGTAATTTCTTACACATATTAATGGCGAACAAAGCTTGAGTATCTTTTTGTTAATTCACCGAGATAAAGTGACCAACCATTTTGAGATGTCTGTTTTTACTCATATCTTGGTGTTGTCGCTGCTTGGTAATGATTAGCAGGGAATTCGAGATTTCACTTTTACTTCATCTTAGGGCCTTTCAAATGAACGCACCTCCATTCCAAGGAGGAAAGGTTTTGAGATCGTGGAAAAGATTTGTATCTCAGGATGAGGATGATGTTGGTTTGGTGTTCTCTGAGTTTTGATATTTCACAAAAAAGTATCAAAGCTCAGAGAAAACCGAACTACCATCAAGGAGAATAGGTATTTGTATTATGACTTAAGCCTGTTTTAACTTGTCATTCTAGTGTACAACACTGTCATTTAAAGCGATGGCTGGTTTTCAGTAAGGATAATAAAAGTCACAAAGAAATATGCATGTCCAGACGATGCGTTACAATTGGAAGGAAAACGGTGTACTAGTTGCCATTGTTGTCTACTGTAATGTTCATGGTTAGTAAGCGATTAATATGAAGGCAAGTTGTATCAACCCGTAAGTCAATTCAACTACTGACTTATATATGCTCATAGCTACTGGATCGATTTTGTTTGTGCCGTTGGGTAACATCTCTATCCTTTTCTTCATAAATTCTTTATTGACACAAATTTTCTAATGAGATTTTCGAAAAATTGAGACTTATACGTATTGAAATTTTAGCATTTTTGTTTAGTCCAAAAGGTTACAAACTCCTAATTTTTATAATTTTTATCAGATGTTGGCGTCAGTGAATTGTTTGGGACAGTTCCGTCCAACCTATCATTAAATGAAAAAGAAACTGTCTCAAATCTTCAGCAACTGTTTGGTACGGATAATCTGAGTGATGATGATGTCAACAATGACAGTGAAGATGATTTCAATGAGTTGACGGGAATTGAAGATGGTCAGTCCTTTTTCTAAATGTTATAAATATCAGATGATGATTTTTGTGAATTTGGTTTTTATCTTGGAATGATTATAATCAAAGAACCACTGAAAGCCAAAGCGTAGAGGTTTTGAGACTAATTGGATATGCAAACTTTCAACCTCGTGAAATCCAGAATCGTCAAACTTCTTAGCAGGTACCTCGTCATCGAAATGCTGAATTGAATTAAGGCAGTCCGTACCCTTTAACTTCTTCGTCCCGTTACAGAACTCGGGGATTGTGAGGTGTTACATATGAATATTGGTTTTGAATTCAGATTGGGTTAGCTTCTATGGGTCGCTTCTTATTAAAGCTCCGAGACACTTAATGTAAATTCGGGCACTTATTTTTTGTCAAATGTAATATTTAGGTGACTGATAGCTGCTAATCTAGCGTAGTGGTCGGACTTGCATATCATAGTAACCCAATGACCTAAACCAGCTAAAATGATTATTCTTTGAGATCCTAACATACCACAAAGATGTGTTTAGTAATTCCATGATGGTGGTCCGAGAGTGAAGTCGTACTTCTTGAGTGCACAGCATGTGAGATCAGCAAGCTGTTTTCCATGGATATCTGGCATCTATTTGTCGAAAGGTTAGGTTAAAAAGTAATGTTTTTCTCTTCTCTCTGTTGTTTTTCGTGATGGTGGTGTAAATTTTTTCTGGTCGGGATATGCCACAATCAAATCTAAAACTACTAGGAAGGTGGCATGTATGTTGACCCCGAGCAGATGTTAATTCGAGCTTTAATTTCACATACCCATTGCGTTAAACTACTCTTATAAATCCACCATCTTTTTCGACACTTTAAGGTGAAATAATCTTATAATCGTTTTTCAAATTTCTCTGTTAGTAATCCTACGTCATCACCTCTGTTTCCTGTTGATGCCAAGCATCTCTTCTTGGTGCTATCTTCCCTTATCATAGTGGAAAGTTATTAGAAGTCAGGCTTAAAAACGTTACACTTCTACTCCCCTGGCATGTGTTTTCGACTTCGGATGCAGTCTCTGCTTTCTCACCCACTGTTTGTAGCTCAGATTAAGTGAAAGATGGGTTTCACTAAAAATTGTCTAACTTCCTGCTAAAAACCAGAGGTTCAGATGTTGTCATCATATGAGGCGAATTGAATATACACGTAAGAAGGCTAGGCCAGGCATATTGGTACTTAAGTGGTACTTTATGAATCCCAGCCGAATGAACGTATAATGTCAATCCCCTGTAACAAATGTACTCAAAGCCGCTGATATATGACAAGCACGAACTTCAGACATACGGAGAGAAATTATCTGACGTAGCGTCCACTGAACTCAACGGCGGACACACCACAACGCTATTAAGTTATCGGCGGAGAGGATTAGTTAAAGATTGTCGCTTGTTCCGAACGGTATGATTGGACAGTGACTGCTTGCTGGTTCGAGCAAATTGCTAACTATTCACTGATACGACCACGCAAGTTTATCAGTTTGTTAATGTATGCGTGCAGAAGTGGTCAGTGTAATATGATCAGAATGGTTTCAGTGTGTAAACTGATAGTTGGAGAGTAGTATACACACTTGGCCCTTTTGCTATCAAAGTCAAGGCTGAGCAGAATTACATGGATCGATTGTTTTTGTGGGTTTCTTATTAGCTGCTTAAAACCCAAAACAGTTTTAATATCAAATTCGACAACGTATTTACAAACTTGAATCAGTTTGATTGAAAATTATCAGCTTAAAGAAAGGATAACGTTGGTGTTACGCAGTCGAAGTTACAAGAACTGAATGAATAGATATATAAGAACTAATAATAAGACTGTCTGTATGTAGAAAGATTCAACGAGTATTCTAGAGGGGAAGTTGAACAAAGAATGGAGAAACAAATGTATTTTGCAGATTCAGGAAGATGGGAAGCAAATTTTCGGCATGAATAACCAAATTTACATCGTTGTGAAACACGGTAGTTTACAGCTCGTAAGTAATACTGTTCCACTACCTACTGTAGGAGTCACTTCAAGTGTATCATATGCACTACTACTGATCCTTTTTAACAAGTCGATTCTTCTTCATTTGTGTTTCGTTTCCATTGGGAATAAACTTCAGTGAACCACTGAGCATTGTATAGCGGTTCCGTACTATATCAGGATTTCTTATCAATAAACACTTCTACTCCACTAGAACTAAACCGTGAGCTATCAAGTCTCCTGTCAAGTTACCTAATAGTCACCTTGGCAGATTCTGGTGATCATTTTTTGGCAACTTCGGTCAATTCCTGTAGTGATACTAATGTTCATTAAGATCTCCCTATCTGTTCATTTATATGTATATGGTAATTCACTTTTATTGAAATAGATGAGAAAGACCGTGGACTTTCAGAAAACGGAGCTAGCATTCAGAAATGTTTATCTGTCAAACAACATTCAGAAAAAGATAAATTAATTGAACGACACGTCAATGAAGCAATTCAATTTGAGGAGAAGCAGAAGAAGACGTCTTTACCAGCTACCTCTAGTAAAAATAATAACGATAGGAATTCAGTCAGTACTGCATTGGCAGCATGTGCTTTGCGACGTAAACAAGCAAGTGAGTTTCGATGAAAATATACTACTTATTGAGTTTGAAAGTTGATTTTAATTACTATCAGCTCAGAGATATTCTATTGCGTTCAGTGTTTGCAGTACTCTCTGAATATATGCATTAAAGAATGCTATGAAGAGTAAATTACAGTCGAGTAGATCCATTTACTCTGTTTCAAATTCATTTATTCTATTTATCCTATCAACTACTGTCATTTCTGATTCTTGCTCATCGTTACTTTAATGCTTCTTGCCGTCGTTATTGACTATAATATTTCGACATGGATTGTCATTTTCATATTTTGAATTAATCTAACTGATGAGTTTTTAGTCAGTAGAAATGAATATGCATTCGCTTTAGATGCAAAAGTCTTTTAGTATTTTATGGATGCCTTTTCTCATTTTATTGATATTTTCATTGGATTTGTGAAGTGATTTTAGTGTTGGATGGCAACCGACCAAATTTTATGACGGAACTGTTAGTGCTGATTAAAATTTGTATTTAATAATTTGCACTATATTGTGAAGTGGTAGCTTATTGGTTTGGGTGGTTGACTTTCAACAAATCGGTCACAGCCTTGTTCTCCCATCCATCTATTGAGGTTTGAGATGGTATCATAAACTCATTATCTAGTGCGTACATCCTCACTGGGTTGGTGAGTTACATCAGTCACATGTCGTCATTCATCTAAATGACGAGATATCATATTGCATTATGTTTAGTGTTAGATAACTTCAAAAAACTACTGAATTATTTATTGTTTGACTTGTTGCCGTTCCACAGAGAGGTGTATCATACACCTCATTGAAGATTGAATTGATGAAGGGTTTAGGATTGTTTGAAGTAGTGTGATGTGTTTACTATCTTCTGTCGGGTTTGTGTAATTAATCTGTTCTTGCAGTGGAATTGTTCGTTTACGAAGAGTTTCAAAAGTATTATCTATAACTACTGAGTCAGACAACGTATTCTGACGTCTCAACTAAGTTACGGGTTTCCCCAGTTTTAAACAACCTCAGTTGGTGAATTTCCAATAAGTGCTAAACCGATACTTTCCGCTAACTACCTCTTAACCATTCAAGTCACAGTAAAGCCGTGGTTCATTGGTTTAATCGTATATTTTCCAACTAATAGGTTGCAGTCTCCTTAAATGTACCGCCCACAAAGTTTTGAACAGGTAGTTACTATTATAAGATCTCACATATTAAATGTGGCTCATAACCAAGTAAACAAGCATATACCGGGTTAAGTGGCATTACGCAACACTTCACAATAGGTATGTATAACTCGCTCCTTAACAGAAGAATCCATACATGGTCACTCAGTTAGCTTTGAATGCAATATTATCCTGATTTTTTGTCAATTGGTGAGGAATCAATCTGTTCTCTATTCAAGAGTTTCATACGATGATCATAACATGTTTCTGAATAAAAAAAAAACTATTGAACTATTGAAAGCGCACCATTATCTCTTTAAGAAACGCATTTCTGTGGGCTTTACGCAGTTTATTAGGAAAACGTAAAAACCCTTCAGTGATATATAAACTCGTATCTAAACCTGGTCTTATAAGATATAAAGTAGTGGGTTCTGTTCTGTTCATTGTGATGCACCAAAACTCCTAGCCAGTATGATAGTTTTTAATTTAAATATGTAGCGCTATAAAGGTGACTAGATTAATATTTGATTAGGCCAGCAATCTCATCAACACATATGTTTGTTATAGCTGTGTTTAGTGTCCTCTGGGTTACATTTTGTCCATAGGTATCAGTATTCGTTTCACTTATGCTGTATGTACTGACTAGGTTTAGGATTCGACCATCATGTTTTAGGAAGGAGTGCACGGTAAAGACGGATGTTATGCGCGAGACAGTGAACAGTGATTATTACTCAACAAATGATTGGACGTTATGGATGTCGGCTGTTTTAAGCTCAACTTGCAGTGTCGTATTAATAAATATTTATTAGGAAAGCTTAGCTGCGGTTTCATGGAGTTTGTAATGAACATATTTAGGTGTTGTCGAAATTACGTTGATTAGGCGAACGTATGCGATGTCTTCTGACCCACTCTTACTTACGGGTATAGAAAAGAAACAAGCCTGTTTCTCCCCAGGTTAGATTGTATGTTTAATATGGGACACAATAATACAGTATTATTTGCTGGATGACGTTTCCAGAATTTATTGCTCATATTTATGTCAAAGTTACCATAGGATTTTCAAGCTTCTTTTATATAGTTCAACGGTTTCTCGTTCATTCATTTTAATGGTAGCAAAAATTTCCAGATATGTGCAATATGTGATGAGTCATTCCTGTTACGTTTGTTAGGTGTTGATTCAATGAACAAAGATTCTGTGATCGGTCTCTCCCTCCACTTATCTATATTAGATTTTAGAAAGAACTGTCACCGTATAGTGTGGTTATGGGTCAATGTACGCAGAGGGATAGGTGAGCTTTTCTCTAAATTACTTGTCTTAGTAGGGTCTATCATTGTATGTCTCTCTAAACGTTTGTATTCTGCTATTCTGACTGACCTCGGTCAAGTGCTTTGACCTGATAGATCAGGTTATTTTTCCTAATTGGCTCTACTGGATCTTTTGGCCTACGAAGTTTCCCTCTGAGCGAGTGTGTGAATTTAAATGTCACCTTAATCCCAACTTTGTTAAGAATTTTACATAAGATTTCCGATGTGCTTTCCTTATACAGCAACGCTACAGAGGTTTCGAATTCCCTTTTAGTTATGTTGCATTTACCACTAACATAACCACTCCTCTTGTCAGTCCTTATAAACTTTTTAATCAATTCCGGAGGGTAGCTGTTAAGGCTTAGTGTCCCTTTGATGTGTTTCATTTGCTTATTTAGGTTTTCTCACTTACTCCTAGCCCGATTACTAAGACATTTTATCAAGTCTGGGAACAAATGGCATTGTGAAAATTCCAACCCACCTCAAAAGTACGGTAGCAATATGTAGATGACATATTTACTGTGTTAAAAATAGAACATATCCAGAGTTTTTTCGCGCACAATACTAGGTGCACTTCAATTCACTCAGTTAGAAAACTGAGAAGGAGAATTACGTATGTTGGACTGCATAATCAAGAAAAGATGGAAGCTTGGATACTAGTGTTTATAAGAAACCAACACATTCGAGTCGAAACTTGGATATCTGGAAAATTTTACTACGATTAAAATAAAGGAATGAAAACGCTTGGACTATGTAAAGGAAGTTTGAAAGTTAAATGATAACTTTAATATGAATATGAGCAGTGAATTCTTCTGGAAAGGTCATCCAATAAATAATACTGTATCACTGTGCGCCATATCAAACAAACAATCTAATATGGAATTATACTCTGTTACAGTACTTAGGTTTCTTTCGCCTTTCATGTAATGTTACTTAAGATTTAAGACTTTTGTTTGAATGAGTTTTCGTCTTCTGCATTCTTTTAAAGGTATATTGTCACTTGATAGTTTACATTAAAATCATGAGGCATTTTTTTGAAATTGCGTCCGTTTATTTATCATCTGATTTTTAATATTTATTTAGTTTCTGCACTGAATGCTGCGTCATTCACTCCTTTCGGGAACCACAGTCCAGCAGTTTTGACTAAATCTGCTGCCATCACACCTATTTCACGTAATACCAACAGTAATGATGGTCAGACTACATCCGCTGATAAAGACTGTTGGTTTGCAGTCCCTACAAGACTTCGAGTGTAGTAAGTCTATGAAGTTTTACCTGCTAACAACTTTTCTGACGGTCATTGTTACAGGTCCTTATGGACATTCATGTCATCTGAAATTACTACGATGCTTCATGATGATAATTAAATGCATCATATTAGGATATAAATTGCGATATGTCATCAACTTATTCACCTTCAATAACAGTCAATAAATACTTTAATGAATAATGTGACCGTTATGATATCTGAGGATTGAAAATTTGTTTGGAAAAGTGCATATCCCTAAGAAGTTTAAGGACAGTAGGGAACGTTTGCTCAATACTCCCTGTGATTTAGTATTTCTCACTGATATCAGCTTGTGTTAGAAACCACTTTAAAGTTTTTCTTGCTGAGGAGGTTATTAAGTGATATCTTTTCAGGAAATTATTACATTTCTGACAAAGTCATTCTATTTATTGCCACAACTCTTAGTTTTACAATTGATGAACTGAGGGTTTTACTCATTATCTTCCTCTCACTATTTGTATTTTCGTCTAAATGAATGTTAAATACACATAAATGGCTGCTGTGCCGTATTGGGCCTTTGTATACGCAGGCGTGGTTCAGCTATTTTATTGACTAAAAACAACTTACTTTCATAGATTGAAAAACTGCTCTTGAAGGCAGTTTGTTTATAATAATTTCTCAGTAGTTTTCGAATCGCAAATCAGTTCACAGCTAACATCACTTAGTTGATTAAATGCTAACCTTTCCCATTTTTAGCGTTTAGTAAACAGTAGTGTAGCTAATGAAAACAGCGAAAGCTGGTACTGGATCTGCAGATTCTTTGATTATGAATTTAGTGTTTGTTTCGACAACTTCCAGCTGTTTGACACCAAGAGTGAGTGCAGATACAGGCTTCTGTCAGTCTTTTCAGTGACATCCCTTTCTAGAAAATTTCAGATCACGGCTCTGTTCAACAAATTGAATGCACCTTTAGCCTCAAGAAGCGCAACGATTATTGACCTGCGGTACGTATGATAGTGTTCAAGCTTCCGACTTGAATCTAACATGTAATTATCACTTTCATCATCTAATGGAAACCTGAACCGCTCCTCCTAGATCAGCTTTAGAGATAGACATGTATATCAGCGCATAGTCTTTCACAAGTACTTTAGTTGGCCACATCTTACCATGATGGACAAAAAAGGAAAAAAATAGAAATTTACTCGAATAAACATTGAAATTGGAGGAAGTATAGCACAGTATTGTAAGCAACTTTCTTAGGAGATTTAAAATTGAATATATATGCTTCAATGTGATGGGTTTTGAACCATTTAGAGTCTTCAGCCTTTGAATTCCATTACCTCAGGAATATCAGCTAAAAAACTTATCGTTTATGCTAGTCAAATCATCGTTTACTGATCCTTTACATTGGTGTCAGTTGATAACCTGATCTCACTGAACTTGCTTTTCTAAAACACTAATCCTCCTGTAAGCATGAGTAAATGTCAGATTTAATGGTGACTTGACGTGCATAAGACATTCCTCGATTACTGGTGTAGGGGGGAAGATCGATCGAAAGTCCGCGTACTCAACGGTGTATGTATCTAAATACTTCTAGCGTAGATATGGATAGGTTATTGGGCGTTAACTTAATTGGACAGCAAACTATCTAAACTTTTAATTACAACAAAGCGAACGGCAGGAAATTAGAATTTTGTAATTGTTTAACTATTTTGTGTCCAGTACAAGTTAACGAATTTGGTCTCAACAGAAGAAAATTGCTTACTTACCCCTTGACTAAAGGTGGGATACGTCGCCTTTGTCGTCATTGAGGTTGACTAATGAGTGATAAACAGCCCTTTTATTTCTGCGCCGAAGTTTATTGGGTAACCAACCCAATATTCGTTGCCTAAGGTAAAGCTTCATATGAAACTGTAGTTCTGGAAATAATTTATTGGTGAAAAAAAATAAAGTGATGTTTTTGAATTACTAAAAAATGTTTCGTTGGATTTTCATTTAGCCGAACTCGAATTTCTTCAGAACTTTGGTCTAGTAGAACCTCCGATCGGGAGGTACTCACTCTCTCTCAGTACATTCAACGTCGCCGTAGTCATCAGTTAATGATGAGTAAATCTGAGAAGCCATTTTCTACTGAAGCTGTTGTGGTTGGTGTCATTGGATCAAAATTGCCTCCACGCCGTTCGCGCAAAGATCGTATATATTCTGTTTGGTGTTTAAGTGATTTAGAACATGTCGGTCCTGGAGCATCATCAGGTTGTGTAAAATTGTTTTTATTTGGTAACTGTCATGAGAAATTGTGGAAAGAACCTGAGGGTAGTGTGGTCGCTGTTCTAAATCCTCGTTCACTAGCCTCGGATGCAGTAAGTTATTACTGTTTTTATTCAAAATTGTTCGTTTGTGAATTGTAATATTGTAATGAATATTCAATTTCACTTTTAAACAGTATTCTACGAACTTTATAGTTATTGTAGTTAGCTTTTTTGAGTACCAATAGTATCAATAGTATTTTTCTGTAATTTCTCATTATTGTCTTATGGTATTATGATTTAGGCTAATTTTTTGTAGTGCATATTATTTTTTTTACTCCCAACATTTCATCTGAAAGTCTGTATTGCATAGGTAGCTATTGTGCACGCGTAACAACGATGTTCGTTTCTCAATGCTGATACATTTGTAAGAAATTTCTTAAAATGCAAGCGAATCGAAAATGTTTTCATTTCGGTCCTTTTATCATGGTGCTGTATACTAATGTATAGGTTTTCTGCGATAAGATCTTTAAATTTCAAGTTAGTGATGGTAAGATAACTGAAAAAACTATTTTGGTTTCAATATATTTAGAAGTGACCGTCCAGCAATAACAAAGAAAGAGCAATGACGGTATCGTATTTCTAGATGCCTTGATAATTTAAAGGACAGGTGGAACAATCATTGAAGACATCGAAATGCCACTCAGCAACCATGGGTAAGTTTGTGCAGTAGGCAGAGCCACACCTATTGTGTGGCTATCCAAATCTCTGTAGGTGGAGCAGAGTACGGACTCATGATTCACTAGTTGTGATTCGAGTGCCTAGACCAATATCTATTGTAATATCACGTTTAATGAGCTTAATCCCTCTGCGACATGAACTAATTTCAGTTTATTGTGAGAAAGTTATTTTCCAAAACGCCGCATTCTATTAGGAACTCCACAGTTCTCGTTACTGTGACTTGGTAGCAACATATAACAGACTAAATTCCTAGCAGTACGTGACTTTAACGCATAGAAAAGCCAAAGTATTAATAGTTTCTGTCAAATTTCTGTTTCTAGAACTAGTATCTAAAGATGATATTAATAGTGAAATAATTTTGAAGGGCATAAAATTATGCCTCGGTCCACCGATAGTAAATATAAGAAATAAAAATAAACTACCTCATTTCTTTTCCTAGTTGCTTATCTGATTATTTTGATGCTGTAATTAAGCTAGTTACATTTTGAAAGTCAACCTTACTGATTGATAAGATGGGTTAGGTCAACAAAATGCTTCATATTAGCAAATCCGATCTAAAAGTGGACATTTGGTCGATCTCAGTGTGGTTTTAGACTTTTTAGGAAATTATATTATACTATATTTAGTATGTACCTTTTAAGTCTGTTTTCTAAATACAGGGGAAGTAATCGAAACCTATCTCTACAAGTTAAATTTATTTACTCAAGCCAAGTTATTACAGCCTCAGTTTATCTTACAGTCATATACGAAATTTAAACTAGCATACATACATAAACTACTTAAAGGTGTATCCTTCAACCAAACTAACGTGGATTTTTCTTGTATTCATTATATTGGTGGTTAAAGTTTAAAGAGGAACCTGGGTCATAGCAGGATTCAAGTCAACTATTAAAAATTCAATAAAATCATTCATTGCTCTAAATAACGACCTAAATGATAATTATCAAATACATAACCTACTTAGGTTTTTAGTTTTTACGACGTATAGTTGTTGAGTTCATCGATTGTGGCCTGGATTGCTTAATCTCTTGAAACTAATATATATATATATATATATAAACTACTTCTATAAACTAGTGATACATTGAAATACAATGCTGATCAGAATTCATCCTCTAAGTGTATGTAGTTATTTTGCATACAAATAAATAGTTGATTGATTAACTTTACCATCAACTTACGGTTTTCTTACTGCTTAGACGTGCTAAAGTACCCTTGATAACACAAATATGTTTTAGTCCTAATCAGTAGGTGCATACAGTAAAGAATTTGGTCATAGAGAAAACAGAAAGATTTGTGGAATAAACTATCTCCATTCTGTTTTATAGCTTTCAAAAACTGTAAACAACTTCATTTTATAGCAAGTTATTATTATGATTATTATTCAAATCAAAGTGCATTCAGGAACCTTACGCACAGCCGTGCAGTAGACAGTGAGCCAAATTTATTGTGTTAATGGCTAAGGGTGCTACTTGGGTGCCCAGACCTTGGTTGGTGGAGCGGCATTCGAACTTGTGACCTATTGGTTCTTCTCAAACCACTGAACCATAACTGGACACTATTATTATTACAAATACATCACTCTCAAGATAAGATCATATTCTGAAATCCGGTGATGAAAGTGGTAGGAAAATGTATTAAAGAAACACGAATCATGCTCAAAATCCACGATGATCTTAATATTTGATAGGGTAAAAAGTTGTATTTTTCGATAGACAGAAAAATCCTTAATAGCGTAACATTGCTAATCGACTTAGCGTCTGTTCACGTTTGTGGGTGATTAGAAAGCGTTAAGTTAAAACGACTCACTGAACATAAGCTAATATAGTTATCAGGCTGAACCAGCGAAGCGGACTCTAAAATGTCCGTTACAATTTCCTCTAGAATTGGATCATTAAGGTCATTTGGATACGGTTACAATGTCTTTTTTATGATTGTCCATTGTTTACAAATAAGACAGTTAATGTATTTGTGTTTTAGAAGTGTTTACTCTTTTGCATGGCGTTGTTGAGTTGCATTATTTTCTTATTTTCAGTTTGCATCTAGATTTAAACCTCCTTAAGTTTTGTTTGCTTTACATGACTGATTTAATCAAAGTCGTATAAAATTTGTAAAATTGATGCAATTCATAGTTAAGAGATAGTTAGATGAGTCAACGATTAAGAAACTTTTCATCTGTGTATCTTGAAATGATTGGAGAATATTCATCGAAGAAGTGATAAAGTCATGAACAAAGTTTCAGCGAGTAAACTGATTTCGCAAGTTCCGTTTCTTTATACAAGAAGGTACTTAGCTAAAGTATCCGAGGTTTATAGCGATATCGTCTTACTAACGAGTTGGTGATGCCAAATACGAATATTTATGATGTGAATCCGGGAGTAGAGGCTAATCTGTGTTATCCTCGGAAATCAAAATTATGATTAACGCTCTTTCAATGAATCCGTCTGTAGAGTTGACATTCATTAAATTGTAAAATATATACAAATCGTCATTTTCGGAAAACGGGACTGAGTTAAAAACTCGCGACTATTATCTCCACCCAGCATCAGTTGGGTTGCGAAGTTTTAAGGCTGTCGCAAATCCTTAATATATGCTGATTTTAATTGGTACACCGATCCTCTTAAAAGCGAGATCAGTGAGGCTTCACTGGATGAAGCTGAAAAGACGCTGGCAGTTTAAACATGTTATAAAGATGAGTAGGTAAGATTATCAATAAAATAGCCTGGAAAAGGATCTATTCATGAGGTATTAACATCTTGAAAAACTCATTTAATTTCTTTTCTTTGAAGCAACAGGAAAACGAACTGTAAGAGTGTTTGCGATTCGTCATGTTTTTCTTCCAGTCACTTTCATTTTCAATGTTTAAGCGATGTTGGTGTTGTTTCAGATCATATTCTCAAATATGTCTGGATTTTGGTTGGTCTTAGTTTTTATTAACGTCATGCAAATATTAGCCTTCCCCCTCCCTTTGTAGGCATTTACAGATGAGAAAGACATTGGCATTACGCTAGATTCTCCATTGCATGTTATGATTTTGGGCGAATCTCCTGATTATGGGATTTGTAGCGCAACAACAAAATCTGGTCAACGATGTTTCCATGTTGTTAACAAGTAACTACTTATTTTTTTATTGTTAATAGTCAGGTATTTTGCTTCCATATTTCGAAGGTGGTTGAATTTTGTACATTTGAGTTGATAGATTTTATTTATGTCAATCGTTTATATCCTGGATTGACACAGGGTGAAAATAGGGCTCTATTAACCCTCAAAAATGTCGTATCTATTCACTATGGTTCCTTTTTCCAGGCAGTATTTTTGAGATGTTGAAGGAAATTTGTTGCGTGGGATAAGGATGATAATTTTTTAGTGTTCTGCAAGCTTTGAGGTTTGTTCTTGAACGTTTCGTCATCAGTGTTGGCGAATTCATCATCATTTATTAAGTAAATGATGAAGTTATGGTGAAATTAGTAAGGAAAGTGTTTAATGTAGCAAAGTGGAAACTATCTTTAGATGTGGAGTGTGATAGTTGAATGTACATATGTCAGATTTGCAGCTGAAGAGAAAAATGATATCCATAGGGAATGATCATATTCAGTCAACTTATAGTTAAGTGGGAAACTCATAAAGGGAAGTTATACCAAGGTGAATTAAGAAGTTGGATATACCCCTCTTAGACTTGGTGTTCGATCTTATTTTGAGCAATTTATTGGCACCTCCAGTGTCCATAACTAATGAATCTATATTCTTCTTAAACTGGTTAATGATGTTGAGGTTAGTTTTTAAAGTTACGTTGTAACGGAGGTATGTGATAAAAATTGACTAGCTTTTTAGCGGTATAACACAAATATATTTAAAAAGACAACACTTGCTCTACGATAATGAATAAACCTGTAAATATGCGATGAGAAGCTTTAAATTTATAATTCAACCTTTCTACATTCAAGAATTAAAATATTCTTATTGAGTTATAAAAGAATAAAGACTTCAGAAATTAATTAAGAAATTGCGTCAGAAATATAATAACGTGAATAATTGTGAGTGAAACCAAGTAAATAACTCGTAACAAAGTGAATAGTTATCAGTGAGCAAAGGAATGGGAAATTTGAAACTGAGCTAGACGAAAATCTTTTACATACTAACAATATGAAAATTAAGAGTATATTTAGACTTAAGAATTGAAAAGTTTAAGAATCAAGAAACCAATAAGGATAGATAATGGCAAGGTGGTTTGGGATACAAACTTCCGGTTTCGATTATTGTATTCCCAGAGCTTCAAGAATAGCAAGGTAAACGTTTCTTCATACCCTTTGAAAGATTGCGCTGCATTTTTTCGTTCGTTTCTTAGTTCTTAATTTCTCTAGTTCTTAGGCCTAACTAATCTTTTAGTTTTCATTATTGTTACTATATAAACGATTTTCGCTTAGCTCAGTTTCATTCCCTTGCTCACTGGCAACTATCTACTCACTTTGTTACGAATTATTTACTTCTTGATTACAACTCACATTTACTCCTATTGTTAAATGCTTTCACATTTATTACTACTTATTAATACTGGATCGAATTGTCCGACCTTTATTGGCATATGAGCCCCTATGGGGATGCCTTGATTATTGCCTGAATGTTAATTGTGGTAATCGATTTGGTTGTGGCTAGCAGAGGAATCCAGGACGCGCATTTCGTCCTATTTTGGACTCAGCTGGATGTACCTGCACCGTAGTGAGTGATGTTCTCACTGAGACTTGGACCTCGTACCCATCACTTCAAACGCCAAGGCGTTATCTACTAGGCCACGGAGGCACGATAGCCTAATGGTTAATAACCAAGTAAATTACTTTCACATTTCTTACGTAATTTCCGCCCCTGTATTATTTTCATGACCATAAACTACTAACAATTAACAAATACTGACATTTTTATTCACAATAACTATGCCTGAATACGATTGTACAACTACACCGGGTGATATCGCTGAAAAGAGAGTTGTTCGCTGAAGTCTTTATTCCTCTTACACTCACAAGAGGGTTAGAGGGTATAAATTGCAACCATGACTTTGGCAGAAAAGATACACATAATGTTTTTTGAGGACCTCAGCTTTGAAATAAACATTCGGAAAGAAAGTCTCTCGGATATTTACTTGTGGCTGAGTATTATTAGTTACCCCCTTAATAAGCTTGTAATGGGAAACACTTGTCAAAATATCAACGGTTCATGTTAAATTGTCATGTATCTAGATGTGTATTGTTCTTCATGATAATCTAGTATTTTCCGTACAGAATTATCGCCTGATGTTTGCAACTTAAATATGCTGTTATTGCCGGGTGTATAAAGTTTTTAGCACTAATTATTAGATACCATTCATTGCTATTGTTAATTAAATATAGTAGCTGAATGCATAGATTAAAGTTAACAATTGACTACTTATTAGCAAAGTAACAGGTTCATTCGAATAGAAAATAGCCCTATACTTAATGATCTCAACACATTGGTTGCATATTGTATACAAACAATTTATCTGTGAATTATTTCGCTTCATTATTTTCAGATGATTAATTTCTTATCATCGTGTAACATCACTATGTCTCACGAATATCAATTTGTATTTGTTTGTATACATTTCCTTCAGGACAGTTTGTCGGTATTGTGATTTCCATGTGAAGAAGGCCTACATCGAGGCTAGTTCATCTCGTCCAGGTTTTGTGAGTGCAAGGTAAGCATGCGTATTGTGAATTTGAAAGCCGTACATATTTTGTTCACCATTCGCAGAATAATGTCATATCCTCGTAAATCCCTGTTAACTGTTGAGAGAATGGTATTTGCGTAGAAGCGATTAATACATATGGATGAAACAAGACAATCGAACTATTTTTCAAAGGAATGAATTAGATATGTTCATATTTATCTGTGGTTTAAATCTGTTATGGATTCTAAACAGTCTGTAAGTGATACAAGTGATAATGTCAAGTTTTACGCAGCACAAGGAACCGAACAGAAACTTAGTAATCTGAAGTTGACATCGTAAAACAAACACAGGTTAGGCAAAGAATGGTTTACGAAGCTACTGCCTAACTTATTACAGTTTAATTAGAACGTTTATGGGGATTTATTTATTGATTGTATGAGTTGGAGGACCATTGGAAACCTGGGAGCACTGGACAGCTGTTTCGTCCTAGGTAGGGACTTCTACGCAACGTGCACCCATGACCCCGCCAGGGACTGAACCCAGGACATTCAGGTTTCGCTGCCAGCATGTTACCATTGAGCCACTTGATCGGAGTTCAGTGATCCATATTACCTACTTCTGTTATTTCATAATATAGAGTGACCTCCATCCAATGCTGTCGTTAAGTGGTGGTCCTCATTTATTACAATTTATTTGAAATTATTATAACGGTGTAGCATACGCACCTGAAAGATGCACACTAACATACAAAACTGTCTCCGAATGAGTGTGTTCAGATTTCTTTCAGAATCCAAAACATACACAGTGTCAGTTCTGTAGCTTGAACTGGTGCATGCATTTATCCCCACGAAGTTTTTACAATAATGTATATATCTGGAATGACACCAGCTGTAGTTCATGATGCTAATATTCAGCATTAATGTTAGGAATCTGTCGGTTCACGCTGATACTGTAGACTGACAGACAAAAACGACGTACATTATTTCAAGTTATTACACTTTACACGTGAAAATCAGAAAGACGTAAGTTGAATGAATAAAACTCAGTGAAGTCAGTAATAGTAGAGGGGTAGAAATGGTAAAGTTAAGACTGCTAAACAAAGAATCAGCCACACTTTACTCAGGTTAATGTGACTAGACTAGAAGTCACACATACTGCCTGACTATTCGATGTAATGAAAATGGAGATAAGCGTGAACCAGTTACGCAGTAATTTAGTATGAATTCCCCACCAAACTGATTCATAATTCTGTTTACAGGAGTTATATTTTTGTCATTCCAGTCAAACAATAGCTATGCTTTTTGTGTGTGCAAAGGGAGGATGTTTTAGTGATTATATGGAGTCGACTACAGTAGAACAGTGGATTTGTCACGTTTTCAATTCGCATACCATTACATGTCTTAGGGGTTATTTTTCATAGATAGTTTATGTTTACTGACTGGTATTTGACTTTATTCCCTCTTCCTACCTCTTCAAAATTTGTATCATTAGGAAAGTACTCAACATTAAATATTCTTTTAAGTATCTCTTTATCATATTCTTTGACAGTTTGCCGGGATTCAGTGGAAAATCACAATCACGATATACTGGTGATCGCCCTCCTTCTGCTTCTGAGCCTGGTGTATTCACCCTACCAATTAACACAAATCTCCTTATGGATAATGGTCATAGACCTGTTGTGTACGTGATGTAATAATTACAGTCAAATAGTTGGTTGTATTTCATTTTTACTTTCAATGGGTCCTATATTAAAGATGTTTAAATATCGAATGAATATGATTAGTTTGTTTTCAAATTGTATTTCAAATGAATAAACTGATCACCAAATGTATTTCGTGAACTATAGCGACTCAGATGTTAGTTCCCCTGGAATGTACATGCAAGAGAGATGTCTAAAGTCAAAAAAACTGCCTTTTGTCAAATAACATTGGAGAAATGTCAAATCGCGTACTATGTATTGCTCATCATTCTTAAATGCATTGAGAACCTCAAGTAGGCCCTCAGTGTCTCTTTTTATAATGACCATTATTCAGTAACCCAAGGTGATGCATCCTGACTCCGTGAAACATAAAAGAGTAACTAGCCGGACGCAGAATTTTCAATTCAGTGATATACTTCTGTGTGACTCAACCTAGGCGTTCTACATCTCCAACCAGCGAGTTATGTGCCTAATTCTTGTTCCATTTACTCAGGGTTGAACAGTCAAGTGGCACCATCAATCCTCACAATAAGAATATCTCATTCCCTAGTGCAGAAACTAAGACATTCATTCTTAAAAATGCACAATTGAAAATACATAGATGTATTGTGGTAGTATGTAGTGTGTACGAAATTTGGGATGATGTTTTGAGCGGTAGACAAAAAACTGCTTCCACAATCAGTACTCAGTAACAGATGTCACAGTAAGTGGATGAAGATGATATAATTCCGATAACTTTGTGCATAATATGACAAATAATTTAAGAGAGGGAATGTGATGAGAACAGAAATGCAAATGATTCGATACTGTGTGGGAAGTAAATAATATGAAAAATAGGAGTTCGTGTACTGCATTTCAAAATGATGAGAGTTCAGAGAGTTGGAAAAATAACTGATGTATGCTTATCAAAGGATTTGAAATCTGGGTATCTACATCCGTAGGGGATTTGATGAAGACACATAGTCTCTACCAAGTTTCTTTTATTTTGGTTAAGATGTTGGTTGAAATTCAGTAGCTTAAGTTGAATAGGTTTCTTCAATAGTACATTTTCCTTGAACTCATTTCGATAGAACACCCCTTAGATGATCAATCTTCTCAAGCTACGGCTTTTCTTTTGAATTTGTTGGTTCGTTAAATACTCCAACAACTTCGGAGATAGTTTTTATAGTAATCACATTATTTAAATGATCAACAGAAATTTGTGAACTGTATACAGTTGTTTCTTCTCTTTCCAGAAGTCCTTGAGTGAAGCTACGGCTCACTGGTGTAGGGAGTTGATTTGTCAACCAATGGGCCACTTGTTCGAGGCCGATGAATCTATCGTGGTTTGGGGAGCCAGGTAGTTTCATTAGTCCTGACACAAGAGGTGTAGTTCATTGCTTACCGCATGAGTTTGCACAAGGTTACTGAGTGCACTTGGACATGTGACAGAAGTCCTTGACAGTATACACCTTCTATAATAAGCACTACTGCGTATTGCTGTTCTCATTTTTCATTACCATAAAGTTTTACTTTATTCAACTATGTTAAATGTTTTCCGTTATTTTCTTTCCTACTTACTTTTGTTTGCATCTTTCGTAGACCTTCCGCTAGAGTTAAATTGAGCGTGGCTAAACTTGCAGCTGCTGGTTATCAAGTAGATGCGTCGAGTGGGCTAGGTGGAAAAGGAAAAACAGCTGCAACATCTAAAACATCTTCCATATCCTCTCTGTCTGTAAGCAGTAGTCAAAATACGAATCCAAGTGAATGTGACAATCCCATATCAAGACATAAATTTTCAGGTATCACCGATCATAGCAGCGGAAAAACTGCGGAGAGTAGTAAAAGCTGTTCACCTAACCATGAAGGAACACTATCTGGCCTAAATGAGGCGGAAAGCAAATTAATTTCTGCGTTACGCCGACCGTCCGCTGGTTCTTTAAATTTATTAAGGCATTTAGAACAGGAGAGTGAAATTGTTCCAATAACTACTCCTTCTGCCAATACCACTGACAATATTAGTGTGAAGTCTCAAAAGAAAATAAACTGCGCAAAGTTTTCAAGCGGTACTCAGAAATCCAGTTCACAAGTCAATTCATCTGCTGTAACATTTGCCGAATTCTTCTCTTCAGTTAACGAGAGACGTAGGCATTCTATACCATCATTATCTGATACTATGATGCCTACACTAAATAATAAGTCAGAAACATTTATTGATCTAGGTCCTATGCCATCGATTGGTGGGCAATCAAAAATGTCACTGTCATCATGCATAACAGATGCTGCACGTTTACGCGCTTCTGCTCTTGTCAATTCTCATGGAGGCATAACCGAAATGATAAATAGTGAGGCTCATAAACGGAAAGTGGATATTTTGAAGAAAGCATCTTTTACCAATTCATCGTAAGTATATTTCCTTTTGAATGATAATACATTCAGATGTATTTAATCTCTATGACATGCTTTAAAAATGTAGATGAATGCTTACCAAAAAAGTAATAACCTATGTATATGACCTCATAGTCTTTCAATTAGATTTTATAATCGAAATAATTTTACCTTTTGAGTTGCGAAACCTCTTTTTACCATTTTAACCTGTTTTTAAATAAGCTTTTGGGCTTAAATCCCACCCCGACCAAGCCCTGTTGAGAAGACTACATGAAGGTTCTGAGTTTCATTCTTTGTATGAAGGTTTTGAATTTTGCCTCTCAGCGTTGTCATTATTGTGTATATGTTATGGTATATGTTTCATTACTAATAAGGATCCTCATTCTACAATGTTTTATGCACATCTAGATCAACTTACTATGACAGTTACTGGGCAGTAAAGTTTCGCTTATGTTTGAAGAAAGCAAAGGCAACAATTTCGTAGATTCTTCCTAATTGCCAGCAACCTAAAACTGTTTGACATCGAGCATATGACGAGAATATATTTGTGAACTTTAATCTAGTTCATTAGAAAAGTATTGATCGAGAGGGAGACATAGGTTAACATGTGGTGGTGTGCCTCATTGGTTTAGAGAGACAGCTATCAACCAGAGGGTCACGGGTTCGAACCGCATTCCACCTACCGAGGTTTGGGCAGCCAGGTAGCATCATTAGCCCTCACACGATAGGTGTGGCTCCATATCCACTGCACGGATGTGCACAAGGTTGCTGAGTACGTTTCTTTCATTGGTTATCGTATCCACTGGGTTATCGAAAGGTTACCCATATATGGGATGTATTGTGGATATTTTGAAAATAAGTGGAAGATGAGAAGCAGGTGGCAATAGGAATTCTCTTGTAATGGTAATATAAATTCATAGATTACATGAACATACCGAAAAACAATGAGCATTAGCGTAACCATATAAGATGTGTGACAATCAGAAGGAAAAAGGGTTGGATAAATTAGTGAACTTACGTAACCGAGCCCTAATCATAACGACAGAAAGACTGGTAACTGATTCCTTTTGAGTCATTTATCAGCATATACTTCGATCATATGTTCTACATTTAAATTTGTCTGTTTGGTAATTATTGTAAATGACCTCAAAATATCCACACCACATCAATCTTGGCTTATGTAGCGAGTAATATCCCTACTACATTCTTTTTGAACATACACTGAAATTCAGTCAAGGGCTTTTCTCTCTGCTTCTGTAATGTATGTGGTTTTGTTTCCTTTCATGTTATTTTGTAATTTCGTATGATGCGTTTCTCGCTGCCTACATTGTACCTATTTCATACTTTAAATAAGTATAAATGAAAGCGAAAACGTAGTAAGATAATTTTTTCAGAGCTGTATCACATTTCACTCTCTCACAATGTGTTTGTCAAGATCTGTCAATACTTGTTTATGGGTGACTAATGTTATAGTGACATTTGTCAACCATTTTGCGTTCGTCTTTAACAAAGTTGTCATGACTTAACTATATTATCCTCCAATTATTGTTATTGCCTTGTTCAAATTTTATACTGGGAACTAAACCCACGAGATTTCTTTCAGTTGTCCGTCTATTTTTCGGTGATCTTATCACTAAGTACATTAATTTTTCGTATCACTAACTGTTTCTGAGAGACTTTTTAACTGAGTTGCTTACACTAATGATTTGACCATTCGTAATGTGATCTGTAACCCAAGACTTTCACAGCAGTAATTGCTGTTCTGTGTATTACCGTATGTTAACGTAGTGGAAAAGTGTCGGGGGGATTAGTTATAAACTTTTTTCTTGATCGAGACTTTTAAAATACATTGGAAGCTAGCCATTGGGGGTATTTGATCCATGATTAAAAAATAGTGCAATCCCTCAACCGAGTTCAAGTTTATAAGAAATTGAATAATTTCAAAGCATTAACCACAGATTCACATTAGACAGAGGCTTATTGAAACCTCAGACCAGTGAAAGGTCGTTTCTTTTGAGTTTTTTTGACTTTTAAACATTGATTACCCACTACCCTCATGCTCTATCGAACCTAGAATTATCACATCACACGAGGAGCAAGTTGCCACTCAACTAATTGATCCAAATCCAGTGCTTTATGTTTCCAGCCTCTATCAGTTCACGATCTGTGACATAAACCAAGTTGGATTTGAGGTTACTTACCTATGATTTGGATTCTGTTTGTATTGTGGTGTTAATTATCAAAGCCTGGTGCCAATTTACATTGAATTTCCACCCAGTCCTATTTTTAATCTTACATGTATCCACAAGTGTGCACTGCTACAAAGTTATGAATATAAAATGAAACAGCTGCTCAGTGCTTGCTAGATTTTCAGTGGTTCAGGCGTCAATTCATAAATTATTATTATATTATTATTCGTCCCTTGGGTTCCTAGTGGAACATTGGGCTTCAGTAGCACGCATCCATTTCACTCTCTTCTCTGCAGTCTTTTGAACCTGACTCCACGACTGCCCACAAGCTCTCATTTCTTCCTCACACCATCTCCTCCATGTCACCCTTGCCTCGGACGCCCAACTCGTCGTTTCCTCTTTGGGTTCCACTCGAGGGGCTGGCCTGACGCGTGATGTCCCCAATCGGCCTTCTCAGTGTATGTCCAGTACAATCCATCTCCACTTTCTTCTGCATATTTGTTGGGTGATAGGTTCTTGGTTGGTTCGTTGCCAACTGCAGTGACATCCTTGTTGCTTATCCTTTCTGGCCATCTGATCTTCAGTGTCAGTATCGAGTGAGCGTAGGCAGCAGTTGTTGATGAATGTGTGTAGTTTGTTGGAAGTGCTTTTCGTGACGCTCCAAGTTCCTGAACCATATAGAAGCACTGACTTGAATGAGTGTTGAATATCTGGATGTTGTTCTTCATGCTGAATGCAGTGCAATAGATCTCCACATTGGCTTAAGATTGGTGAAGGCCTCTGTTGCTGTCTTTCCGATCCTGACTTTGACGTCCTCATCTGTGCCATCTGTAGTTGAAATGATGCTGGCTGCCTAAGTAGGTAAAGGAGACTACTTCATTTAGGTTTCTCCCATTGATGGTGATTGGTGTTTGCCGTTGTTGTTATTGTTGTTGGTTGGGTATCGTCACCACCTCTGTCTTCTCTACGTTCACTTGAAGTCCCGTCTTCCTTCGCTGCCTCTTCTGTCAACTTGTTAGTTGTCGCCTGTAGATCTTCGAGTTTGTGGGACAAGACAGTAGACGTAAATCATCGTTGGCGAAATCCAAATCTTTTTCTTGGGTCTTTTCATCGATCCAGCGTACGTCCCTCTTCTTGCTCCTCAAAGTCTAATGCATGATCTAGTCCAGTTCAGTCGGCCACAATCAGGAGGAGGTGGTCGGTGACAGTAGGCGACAATCTTATCTTACTCCTGTCTTCACTGCAAAGGTACCACTGAGGTTTCCATTGCTGTGTGAATCACTTGGCATGTAGCATCATATAGCATATGGCTGTTGAATGAGGTTGATAAAGATTTGTGGCACTAAAACCGTAGTGTTGAAGCAGCTGCCTGCCAAATTACTTCTCGGCGCTGTCGAAGGTCTTTTCAAAGTCGATGAAGTTGAGGTAGAGGGTTGACTGCCATTCTATACTTTGTTCTATGATGATGCGCAGCGAATAGTTGCAATTTGTTCCGCACATGATTTGTACTTCCTGAATCCATCCAGCCTGTTCCGGTCGAAGTTTTGAATCAAGCGCATCCTTTAGTCTCTCCAGGATGATGGGCCTAATATTTTGCCTGGGTGGACAGGAGCATGATTCCGCGCCAGTTCTTGCAAACACTCATGTCGCCCTTCTTCGGGAGTTTGACAAGGTAACCCTTCTTCCAATCAATGGCCAGGTACCTTCTGTTCCTTCCAGATCTTCTGGAATAATGGTGTGAGCATGTTCACTGTTGTCTCTGCGTCTGTTTTCAGTGCTTCTGGCGGGATACCATCTGGTCCTGCTGCTTTCCCGCATTTCAGTAGCTGTATGGCACACATGACTTCGACTTTTGTTGGAGGATTTGTGTTCACTTGTAGTTCTGTGGCTGGGCTTCATGTGGTATTTCTGGACGAAGTGTAGGTAGGTGGTGATGGTGTTCTATTCAAGAGCTTCTTGAAGTGGTCAGTCCATCGTTTCCTTTGTTCCTCTTCTTTGGTAATTAAATTTCCTTCATCATCTTTTATTGGTTTCATCTGCGTTGATCTCTCCCCTCCCAGATAGTAACCTGGTTATTTGATATGATGTTCTCAGGTCTCTCCTACTTGCAGCAGCCTGTTCTGCTTCACTTGCCAGTGTTTCGTAGAAGTGTCTTTTGTCTTCGCTCACTCTTCTTCACTTCTTTGTCCAGTGTTTTATAGGTTGCACTCAGTTCCTCTTCTAGTTGTTCACCCTTGCACTGGTTTATCTTCTGCTTCACCATCCTCCTCTCCTTGCTCTATCAGCTTGCATGTGTCCGTCGAGATCCATTCCATTCCTTGTCTTCTTTCTTCCTCCTTCCTAACACGGTTATGCAGGTTTCTTTCCACATCCCTTTCAAAGAGTTCCAGTGTTCATCCACACAGGTTTCTTCAGAGATGTTGTTGGATATCTCCTATTTCGTCTTGATGGCTTACGTGAAGATTTTCTTTGAAGTTTCGTCCTTGAGTCTCCGGGTATTGAACTTGAACTGTGGTCAATCACCCAACTTCCTTGAAGGTTTTCAACTTGATTTTGAATGTAGATTTCTTGCACTAGATAATGGTCTGAGCCTACATCTGCTCCTCTTCTTGACCTTGTGTCGAGTTGGCTGACTGCGTCTCCACTTTCTTCACACTGAGATGAAGTCGGTTTGATGTTTAGTTTGTCCTGGTATCTGGTGAAATCCATGTCGCGCTCACTTTGTGAATATCCTTGTGTGTGTTTGTACACACTGCCTCCAACCACCGAGTCGTTGAATACACAGAAACCTGCAAACAGTTCTCCATTCTAATTCATCATTTCACCGAGTGCTTCTCGACCCATGATGGATGAGTTCTCTTCCTGTGTTGTCTGCTCCCAGTTTGATATTCATGACACCCCACCCATCAGAATTTAGATGTCGTCATCTGGGTTGGGGTCTTGTCCAGTACTGATTGCAGGTGTCTGTAGAATTCCTCCATCTTCTCTTGATCTGCATTATTTGTAGGTGCGTAGCGTGGCATTGATTGATTGTGACTTTCCTTCCTTTTGAGTTGAATCTTGTTGTCATGATCCTGATCCTGCAGGAGGAGATTGGTTCCGACTGCATGAGAGACAGCCTCTGATGCTGTTGTGGACATCATGATATCCACTGGAAAACTCAGTGTGCTCGTGGTTGTTGTGTGGGTGACAATATTGGAGTAGGTTATTGACTCTCCAGTTGATAGTTTGGAGAGTCCACTTCTATCTTCCACTTTCATCTGCTTTCGCAGATTCCCAGCCTAGCACTTCTATGTTATATCTCCTCATCTCTTTGGTAATCTGGGTAGTTTTGGTAGGTTCAAACATTGTGTGGACATTCCATGTTGCCACGCTTACTTTCGCTGTTATCGAGAGAGAGAGAAGACACATCGACCGACTGGCTTCCCGAAGTCTTTCACCAACCGGCGTCATTTCGTCTCTCCGATTCCAGCTAGGAATAATTTTGTTTTTATTTTTTATATTTTGTTTGTGCTTTGATGTTTCTTTAGCGATTGGATTGGTTTTACGGGTTAGGGTTGCTATCCGTATGCCCAACCTTCCCTCTTTACCCGGGCTTGGAACCGGCTAGTAACTAGTGAACTAGTTAATCAGTTGGGTTAACATAATGAAGGCCTTTAATTAGCTCTACTAATGAATATGTTCTTGTCATTTATATTTTTTTGTTGCTTACTTATTTTTGTCGTAGTCCATTGTCAGAAATCTTGGATAACAATCCTTCAAAACGTCCAAAGTTAACTACCTCTGTAAGCAATCTAGCTAATGATAAGCCAAGAAGCTCGTATCAAACAGCTGAACAAACTTTAAAACAAATGCGAGCCAACAAATTAGCTAAGCTGGCTCAACAAATTAGCCAAGGTTCAGCTCATACAAGCCTAGTAACTGAATTGGAAAACCAAACTGAAAATATTCGTCTGACGAATTTAGAAAGACGTGATGAATTCGAAGAGAAACTAGTGAATCAAGAGAAAGAAGCCTGCACATATGTGATATGCGAAACTGTAAGTTTTGCTTTGATGTAGTTGGAAGCAAGGTGGTGAGTACTTAAGTATAACATCATAAAATCGAACCCTTAGTTACCTTTTGTTTTAAAATTGTCGATTCTGTTTGTTCTGTCACTCTGATGTATTTATGTTATAAAAACATGATGACATCTCAGTTATTTTCTGACCGAGAATTTTTGTCACTCCAAAATGTCTAATATACTATCAGAAGACTTAGGAAGTATTTATTTTCGATCTATTCATCAGGTAAGAACTAGTTTCTCTATGTACTGGTTAACAATTTCTGTCTCACTTAGGGATTTATAAGTCTTCGGTCTGGGTTTAGGTGGTCTTGAGGCCCAGTATCAGCCTAAGTTTGACACCATGATTCAAAATTTTGGCGAATAGGGCCATCAGGTCTTAAACCTCTCTGTGGGTGTCTTCTGTTTTGCTCGTTATAAAAGTGGATGGATTACTTTGCCTTCTTATACTATCATCTCAGCCCCATTAAACCTTGTGACGTTTACATCGTCAAATGCACTGGACGGGCCTCGGTGATTTTCAACTCTTGATTTGACCTCTGGATACTGGCAAGTAGAAATCACTCCTACAGTTTGACTTAAAACTTCATTACATTTGCCAACTACCCTATTTTAATTCCAAAGTATGCCGTTTTGAATTGACACGCTTCAACGTCTAATGCAAGTAGTCCTCTACGTTTTGATTGCAAGTCAATGTTTAATCTATCTAGATGATATAATAGCATTTCGGTGCTCTGCAGAATATTTGGAACAAGACGCTAAGATCTTGTGAGCTGGTCTGCAACATCTCCGCAGCAATGGTCTTAAACTGAAACACGCCTAGGGTCAGCTTTAGAAGTAGTCCGTCGTAGCTTTACTCTTGTGGTCTGTTACATGAGCTTGTTCAGCTTTCTGAACACCACATTTAGCTGAGTTGCTGTGCTATTTCAAATACGTATAAATTCGTAAACTCAGTTGACAGTGGAGTGAGCAGGACAGTAACCCATTTTGGACTGGATTATAGCAAACATTTAGTGTTCTACGTTGGTACAGTTGACCACGAAAAGAAAATGCGTGGAAAGTTTTTTGTACTATTTTTGCAACATTTTTCAAATTAGTTATGAATTTCGTTAGTTTATCATATGGTTTTTAGTGGGCCGAAATTGCTGATATAGACATTTTAGTGGCATCCCAAGTAGCTTTCAGGCCAGCTTCCTAAGAAATGATGACAGATATCTCCAGTGTTTATAATCAGTCCACTTTGTTATTGAGTAATTGTTAGGTTGAAGATATAATCTTCATTATCTTTTCCAAGACTTTTCGCAAACCTTTTGGTAGTTGATATGGGGAAGCATCCTTCGAATATCGTTACAGGACCTACCTGACTAATAATCCAAATACAGATTTTCTAAAAGTTAAAATGTCATTTTTGATTCGTTACTAGACTATTGAGTAGCATACTTATCATGAACCCAGCTTTACGATGTGGCCACTGTACAATTATGTGTTTTATTTACCTAGAACAAATAGTGAGTTATTATACCGATAAAAATATCCTTCAGAGGTGTTTTTCAAAACATTTCACTATTAAAATTTTCCGCATCCTTAATCATTATTTTATATTTGCTGATGTATCTTCAGCGTTGTACAAACAGACAGATAAAATCAACGCAGAACCTCATACACAAGTACATTAGTTCAAGTTGCCACACTTCACAGTAGCATACAGTGAACAAGTGGTTAGAATAAGAGTGATATGAAAGTAGACAAAGTTGTCTGGGAGAATAAGCCATTTGATGATAAAGGTTAGTGTGAGTATTCAAGTTTTAGATGTCAAAGAGTGAATACACCTGCGTCGTTGTGACCGCTTTTCAGACATGTCACCAAAACCTCTTGACCAGCGTTACACGCTCTGATGTAGGGAAGTATACACTTGATGATATTATCAACAGCTTAATATATCAATGTCTAGTTGAATTTTTGGGAATTTGACTCCCTGTCAGCAACTAAATAGGTAGTAATGAAATTCTTGTGATTTTTAAGTATCTTGAAAGTATTAAATGGTTTCTGTTACTTTGTAGTTGTAAACTATGTAAAGACAGTTCCGGTTCTCTTTTTTTCATCTCGAGATTAAAAATAATCTTAAAATCGTCGATTAATATAAGTGTAAAAACTTGGACACTGTCGTAGTGAAGAAACAGAAGACAATTCGACGAGAGAATGTTTATTACGAACAATTTGAATGGTAGTGGTTACATATGGTACTCCTTGCACTAACGCAGCCATTTGCAAATGTCTTCGTTTCCTCTCCGTTCCTGTATTGATTTGCTCTTGACCGGCTCTTCATACACTCTTATCAGCAGCATCCCCTGTAATACGCCTGTATTGTCCCCTGCGTTGCTCTTAGTAGAAACCTTACCCATTGCTGGTAATTCCCTACGATTCCTGCCACCCTCTCGATATATACTACTTATATCCGTTGTTAGCAGCAACGCCCACTACAGTAGGATGTAATTCCATATTAGATTTGTTTATTTGGTGTGGCTAGCACATAATGATACAGTATTATTTACTTGATAACGTTTCGATCATGAATTATTCCTCATAATTATTTCAATGCAAACATACCACTTTTGACATCTGATTTTTGTGGTCCTGTCACTTCATATTCTTTGTTTTTTGGCAGTAAAATTTTCCATATCTCTGGTAATGGGCGTTGCATCATTCCTATAACATGTGTTGGGCGTAAATACAGTAATCAATCTCGCTTTACATTTAATTGTATTAGACTTAAGGACAGTGGTTTTACTTCACCCTATTATGTGGTTGTGTGTTAGTGCATGCATTGAAATACCCGAGTTTTTTCCTAGATTATTGCTCTTATTGGGGTCTGTCATTCTAGATTTAGCTAAATTCCCATGTTCCGTTAATCTAACTGATCTTGACCGGGTAGTTTGAGTCATGTACTTGATCTCACAGTCATTGCATGGGATTCGGTAGATTAGATTATTTTGCTTATCTGGATCTATCGGATCCTCTGAATGAGCTTGTGGATTTAAGTGCCACCCTAATTCTAGCCTTGCTGAGGGTCCTACGTAAGGCTTTTGATGTTGCTTCCTTATATTGTAGCACAGTATATGTTTTGAACTTATTTCTGCTCGTGCTGTCGATATTATTCATATTCATATAAATTCACATAAATTCTTATGTGTTCGTACGAATTGCTTCATAAACTTCAAAAGATACTTATTAATTAGTAAGATTTCTTTTATTTATTTAAGTCGTTGTACTGACTTATGAGTTGTCTAGCTCTATTATTTAGACATTTGATTAAGCCCACTTTAAACTGACATTGGATGAAATGATGTGAAGGATAGATACCTGTTAGAATGTGTTGGTTTTCTGTAGACTGTAGTATCTAAACTACCGTCTCTTCTTCGTCTTACTGTGCAGTCCTACATAGCTAATTTTCTTCGTTCATTTTCTATATTGGTGATCCCATTGCTACTCCTGTTTGCCTATGTATATTCTGTCCTGAAACTTGACTATGGAGGTCAGGCTCAAATATACACCTAATGTGATTTCATCAACCGATATCTTAGTTCTATAATTAAATTCTGAGTCTATATATATTTGATTTCTAACTGCCTCCAGTGCCATATTTTATTTTATGAACAATAATTTATGCCAAAACGTCACCAAGTAAATGATACTGTGTCAATGTGTTCTGTATACCAAATAAACAGATCTAATATGAAAACTAAATTGTCTACTTTTTGAATGCCAATAAGCCAAACTGTGGTCGATTAAATAAGTTGGAGCTCTGTTTCATTTTTTTTTTTACAGTGTAATTACCGCGCTTTCAAAGCAGCTCCTGCTTGTCGTACCAGTAGTCACCAGCTGAAGTATTTGAAAGGTTTCAAACGTTATTTTCGCTGCCGCCAGTGTTCAAAGCGAACTGTATCCTTGGATCGTTATCCTACCAAATCATGCCAGTAAGCTGATCAGTTATAAACTTTATCATCTTTTCTCTTCACCTTTCTCAAAATGGTTTCAAACAGGTTGACTGTTCATCTAGTGCATATATAACTAGCATAGATGTGGGAAGTTCCAGGTGATGACATAAATTACTAAAGTAGAAGGACAGTCTTATCCTATCAGTTATCGTGTGTAGTTAATCAACTGAAATCCCGTTTTCTAAGTGCATTGAAGAGAAATTGGATCAGTTGACAACGTGCCTATTTCAGACATGACTCGCAGCTAAAATAACTGTAGGACGGAATAATTCTTTTTAATCATGGTTTGTCGTTTTACGCTGACTATTTGTCCACTGTCGATAGCTATATCTTCAGGTTGCTATGGCAAACTAGTTTAACATATTTGCTAGCTTCACCACGTAAAGCGCTAGTTATTTCTTCGTGAAATTACCCTTAGCTTTTTATTAGCTAAATTTAGTGTCATTGTTAGTCATCACACATTTTTTATTATTATTTGTCCGTTGGGTTCCTAGTGGAACATTGGGCTTCAGTAGCACGCATCCATTTCACTCTCTTCTCTGCAGTCTTTTGAACCTGACTCCACGACTGCCCACAAGCTCTCATTTCTTCCTCACACCATCTCCTCCATGTCACCCTTGCCTCGGACGCCCAACTCGTCGTTTCCTCTTTGGGTTCCACTCGAGGGGCTGGCCTGACGCGTGATGTCCCCAATCGGCCTTCTCAGTGTATGTCCAGTACAATCCATCTCCACTTTCTTCTGCATATTTGTTGGGTGATAGGTTCTTGGTTGGTTCGTTGCCAACTGCAGTGACATCCTTGTTGCTTATCCTTTCTGGCCATCTGATCTTCAGTGTCAGTATCGAGTGAGCGTAGGCAGCAGTTGTTGATGAATGTGTGTAGTTTGTTGGAAGTGCTTTTCGTGACGCTCCAAGTTCCTGAACCATATAGAAGCACTGACTTGAATGAGTGTTGAATATCTGGATGTTGTTCTTCATGCTGAATGCAGTGCAATAGATCTCCACATTGGCTTAAGATTGGTGAAGGCCTCTGTTGCTGTCTTTCCGATCCTGACTTTGACGTCCTCATCTGTGCCATCTGTAGTTGAAATGATGCTGGCTGCCTAAGTAGGTAAAGGAGACTACTTCATTTAGGTTTCTCCCATTGATGGTGATTGGTGTTTGCCGTTGTTGTTATTGTTGTTGGTTGGGTATCGTCACCACCTCTGTCTTCTCTACGTTCACTTGAAGTCCCGTCTTCCTTCGCTGCCTCTTCTGTCAACTTGTTAGTTGTCGCCTGTAGATCTTCGAGTTTGTGGGACAAGACAGTAGACGTAAATCATCGTTGGCGAAATCCAAATCTTTTTCTTGGGTCTTTTCATCGATCCAGCGTACGTCCCTCTTCTTGCTCCTCAAAGTCTAATGCATGATCTAGTCCAGTTCAGTCGGCCACAATCAGGAGGAGGTGGTCGGTGACAGTAGGCGACAATCTTATCTTACTCCTGTCTTCACTGCAAAGGTACCACTGAGGTTTCCATTGCTGTGTGAATCACTTGGCATGTAGCATCATATAGCATATGGCTGTTGAATGAGGTTGATAAAGATTTGTGGCACTAAAACCGTAGTGTTGAAGCAGCTGCCTGCCAAATTACTTCTCGGCGCTGTCGAAGGTCTTTTCAAAGTCGATGAAGTTGAGGTAGAGGGTTGACTGCCATTCTATACTTTGTTCTATGATGATGCGCAGCGAATAGTTGCAATTTGTTCCGCACATGATTTGTACTTCCTGAATCCATCCAGCCTGTTCCGGTCGAAGTTTTGAATCAAGCGCATCCTTTAGTCTCTCCAGGATGATGGGCCTAATATTTTGCCTGGGTGGACAGGAGCATGATTCCGCGCCAGTTCTTGCAAACACTCATGTCGCCCTTCTTCGGGAGTTTGACAAGGTAACCCTTCTTCCAATCAATGGCCAGGTACCTTCTGTTCCTTCCAGATCTTCTGGAATAATGGTGTGAGCATGTTCACTGTTGTCTCTGCGTCTGTTTTCAGTGCTTCTGGCGGGATACCATCTGGTCCTGCTGCTTTCCCGCATTTCAGTAGCTGTATGGCACACATGACTTCGACTTTTGTTGGAGGATTTGTGTTCACTTGTAGTTCTGTGGCTGGGCTTCATGTGGTATTTCTGGACGAAGTGTAGGTAGGTGGTGATGGTGTTCTATTCAAGAGCTTCTTGAAGTGGTCAGTCCATCGTTTCCTTTGTTCCTCTTCTTTGGTAATTAAATTTCCTTCATCATCTTTTATTGGTTTCATCTGCGTTGATCTCTCCCCTCCCAGATAGTAACCTGGTTATTTGATATGATGTTCTCAGGTCTCTCCTACTTGCAGCAGCCTGTTCTGCTTCACTTGCCAGTGTTTCGTAGAAGTGTCTTTTGTCTTCGCTCACTCTTCTTCACTTCTTTGTCCAGTGTTTTATAGGTTGCACTCAGTTCCTCTTCTAGTTGTTCACCCTTGCACTGGTTTATCTTCTGCTTCACCATCCTCCTCTCCTTGCTCTATCAGCTTGCATGTGTCCGTCGAGATCCATTCCATTCCTTGTCTTCTTTCTTCCTCCTTCCTAACACGGTTATGCAGGTTTCTTTCCACATCCCTTTCAAAGAGTTCCAGTGTTCATCCACACAGGTTTCTTCAGAGATGTTGTTGGATATCTCCTATTTCGTCTTGATGGCTTACGTGAAGATTTTCTTTGAAGTTTCGTCCTTGAGTCTCCGGGTATTGAACTTGAACTGTGGTCAATCACCCAACTTCCTTGAAGGTTTTCAACTTGATTTTGAATGTAGATTTCTTGCACTAGATAATGGTCTGAGCCTACATCTGCTCCTCTTCTTGACCTTGTGTCGAGTTGGCTGACTGCGTCTCCACTTTCTTCACACTGAGATGAAGTCGGTTTGATGTTTAGTTTGTCCTGGTATCTGGTGAAATCCATGTCGCGCTCACTTTGTGAATATCCTTGTGTGTGTTTGTACACACTGCCTCCAACCACCGAGTCGTTGAATACACAGAAACCTGCAAACAGTTCTCCATTCTAATTCATCATTTCACCGAGTGCTTCTCGACCCATGATGGATGAGTTCTCTTCCTGTGTTGTCTGCTCCCAGTTTGATATTCATGACACCTCACCCATCAGAATTTAGATGTCGTCATCTGGGTTGGGAGTCTTGTCCAGTACTGATTGCAGGTGTCTGTAGAATTCCTCCATCTTCTCTTGATCTGCATTATTTGTAGGTGCGTAGCGTGGCATTGATTGATTGTGACTTTCCTTCCTTTTGAGTTGAATCTTGTTGTCATGATCCTGATCCTGCAGGAGGAGATTGGTTCCGACTGCATGAGAGACAGCCTCTGATGCTGTTGTGGACATCATGATATCCACTGGAAAACTCAGTGTGCTCGTGGTTGTTGTGTGGGTGACAATATTGGAGTAGGTTATTGACTCTCCAGTTGATAGTTTGGAGAGTCCACTTCTATCTTCCACTTTCATCTGCTTTCGCAGATTCCCAGCCTAGCACTTCTATGTTATATCTCCTCATCTCTTTGGTAATCTGGGTAGTTTTGGTAGGTTCAAACATTGTGTGGACATTCCATGTTGCCACGCTTACTTTCGCTGTTATCGAGAGAGAGAGAAGACACATCGACCGACTGGCTTCCCGAAGTCTTTCACCAACCGGCGTCATTTCGTCTCTCCGATTCCAGCTAGGAATAATTTTGTTTTTATTTTTTATATTTTGTTTGTGCTTTGATGTTTCTTTAGCGATTGGATTGGTTTTACGGGTTAGGGTTGCTATCCGTATGCCCAACCTTCCCTCTTTACAGGGGCTTGGACCGGCTACTATGTAGTCAGCTGGTTACCTAGGGGAGGTTCATCACACGTTACTTCATTCTACAGTGCGTTGACTAAACCGTATGTGCTATATTTAGTAAACATTACCCCTTTTCACTTTACTGAAAATAATCTGTTTTCTTTAGCTTCATTATCTCTTTTCTTTGTATTCCTCACAATTACACATTTTTATCTTTTTGTAACACTGTTTACTTTTATTACACATTAGTTATTGTGGTGAATCGTTGTTTGAAAAGGCGGGAGTAATGAAGGTAAGTATTTTCTACGTCGATAGATTATTATCTTATATTTTGAGTTCATTTAAAGTTGCTTTCATTTCCAGTTGTTCACCTTGTATTTGGTTCTGTTATTCTTATGCTCAATTTAAGAAGTAGTATATGTATCTCTGTTTTTTACTAACTATATACAAATAACTAATTAGAAATATCGAATTCTTCTTTGTTAGTGATACCTTTTTATCAAGCAGTAAATTCAAGATTCCAATCTTTGTATCATAATATTGTACTTCCATCAAATACAATCCAGTATAACAATTAGTCCCGACCTATCATTTTTCCTGACAGTTCTTTTAAATAGCTTTTATTATACTGGATGAAAGTAACACAGCAAACGGGTAGGTAGGTTAACATAGAATCCGTGAAATAAATATTTGAATTTAAACTGTCATTTTTTGTGATAACGCCGAGATAGCAAGAAGAAAAAACTTATTCACGTATTCGCTACGGTAAGCTTGGCAGAAAACTTCAGAAACCTACCGAGTTCTTTCACTGTCATAGGGTTGTTGCTCAACTTAAGACGTCGAAATATGGCCGTTGAGTCACAAAGAAAGGAAGAGAAAATTCAGTGGGATAAAAATCCTTTTTTTGACGGTTCCCTTCGCAAGTAATCATCGTTCTTTGAAGCGTAACGCGCTGAATATTATCGATGAAATTAAATCGCAACTGCGCGAATTGGAGCGTTATCTCCGACTGAGATCTCATGCACTATTTGATCTGCCCTGAAGATAACTCAATAGTTACGTTTCATTGTCTAAAGTTGAGCAAGGACCCTAAGATAATGAAGGAACTTGGTGGGTGTCTGAAGTTTCCTGTCAAGCTTGCTGCATAGGATACGCGGAAAGGTCTTTAAAATCTGTATAGATAAATGCGAAAAAGGTATTCAGGTCACTATAAAAAAGTATACAAACGAGAAGATGAAAATGAATGAAGATTTTTAAGATATCCGAGACATTGAAAGGGATTAAGAATGGGTGCGGTTGTGTGATTGTAACCAATTTTGAAACATATTGCCCGGGATCTGAAACTATCTTGTAGACTTAGGCCAGTTACCATACATTTCCATCTGTCTCTCAAACTAAAAATTGATGAATTGGTGCCATTTTTTGATCGAGCCACTCTTAACTTCCACAATGATTCATTCCTAGTTACCGTTTATTGTACTTTCAGATGAACGTTAACTTAACGATCCTGAACGGAACATTGAGATAGGCCTCCCAACACTAGCAGAAGTCGAGAAAGCTGTAGGTAACCTGAAACGAGGAAGGACTGCAGGACCAGACGGACTAACTCCAGAGGTATACACGGATGGTGGTAAGGTGCTGTTAATCAGGTTAACGGAAGTGCTAACCAGTATATGGGAATCAAATGCGATCCTATCTGACTGGTCTAAATCACTGGTCATCCCAATCTTCAAGAAAGGCGAGAAGTCCTCTTGTGATAACCACCACAGAAGAATCAACCTGACGAACATAGTGTCCAAGATCCTAAGTTTTATAATTCTCCGACTCCTGAGTGGAGCTCGGGAACAGCAAACCTGAGGAAACTAGGCAGGCTTTAGACCTGGCCGTGGGTATATCGACCAAATATTCACACTGCACCAGGTTCTGGAACATAGGCACGCTTACTGACGCCCGACAATAGCTGTATTTTTCGACCTGAAGGCGGCATTCGACTCCGTTGATCGAGAAGTCTTATGGCAACGGCTCTCACTGAAACGCGTGCCGAGTAAGTAGATCACCTTATTGAAGGCTGTCTACTCAAACGCTTGCCGGTGTGTTAGAGCCTATAGTGAGATGTCCAAGGGGCTATGCACATTGAGTGGTGTCCATCAAGGGTGCCCACTGTCTCCATTCTTATTCAATTTTATCATAGATATTCTCATAGAGGTCTCCCTCTCGTCACCTGATTACACAGAGGTTAACCAAATCGGTGGAGAGTTTTCGTTAGACCTAGAATATGCAGATGACATAGTCCTGTTAGGTGAAGACGCTGACAAGATGCAGAGTCTTCTGGACACTGAGTGACAATTTGAGAATATTTGGGATGCGTTCCTCACCACCCAAATCCAAATTGTTGCTCCAGGATTGGTCTTCAACGGTGCCCCATCGCGGCTAACAACACAGAGTGTAGTGATTGAGTCTGTCGACCACTTCACTTACCTGGGAAGTTGGATCAGTCCGACCCTGGTGGCTCAGTGGCCGATAAAACCTCTGCACGGATACAAAAGGCTCGGCTGTCTTTCACCAAATTACGCCACTTATGGCCCCGCCGTGATATCCGATTGATTATTGGGGGCGCGTGTACCCCACAACGGTCGTGTCTGTTCTAATGTATGGCTGTGAAACATGGCCATTGAAGGTGGAAGACATGAGAAGGCTTCAAGTGTTTAACCACTGTTGCCTTCGTAGTATAAGCCGTTTTCCGTGGTGTCACCACGTGAGTAATGCAGAAGTCAGGTGGAGAGTTTTAGGGAGAAGAGGTAAACCAGTTGAGGAGGTTATGAACCTTCATTGACTGAGATGGTTGGGACACGTGTTACGTATGCCTAGAAACCGATTGCGCCGTCACACAGTATTGGCCGAAGAAGGCTCAGGCTGGAAAAAGGCCCGAGGTGGCCTGACTAAAACATGACATCAATGTATGAAGTCTCTGACTATTGGTTTGAGCCATGTGGGGTGATGTAGACTAGCCTGTTGGGGTCCGCGGGACAAGAGGAATCAGTGATTGGAGACTGACTCTAGGTGATATGGTCCAGAACCGATGCCAGTGGCGCAGATGTATGCACACATTATCCTCATCTCACCATTTTCTCATTCTTCCTTCCTCTCTTTTAGTACTTTGTATTTCTTTTGGCTGAATTTTCTTATCTTCATCTTGCACCTCACTACCTTTTTTACTTGATGTACTGATATAATCTGTGGCAACTCGGACCGTTACTCAGTAATGCCCGGTCTTATGTAGATATTGATGATGATATACTTAACGCATACCGTAGTCACCTCCATTTGTGCAAGCTTACATCTGCACAGACCTACTTAGATTTGGGATCTAGAACTTAACCTTAGAATCCCTCACCGTAGACACAAGTAAGCTTACAAAAATACCTGGTGCTCTTAAGAATTTCAATGTCGGTTATGGTGTGTGTCATATTTTATTTTGTTGTCGAATCACTCTAATAACGTATGTTTAGCTACTTTTGATGCAAAACAGTGAAGCCGGCAGTATATGGTTTCCGTGCTTCCAATTTCATCCTTTTTCTGAGTTTATTCTTGATGTAAATTTGGTTTTGCAAAGTATTTTTTGTTCAATCCAATGTTTCCAATAGGTTCTTCTAGTTACCTAAGTATTGTGTGATTGTTTTATTATTTTAGGTAGTTGATAGGTCTGTGCTCTTAGCAGACACTGAGTCGCATTGATAGTCATTTTGTACTCTTCTAAGCTATAGTAGCTGCTTCAATTTAGTATTCCAAACAACTTGTTGATACCTGTTGTTTATATATGCATGATAGTTAAGCGTTGTATCAAAGAAACAATGTTTTCTAAACTACTTATCATTTTATCAGGATACAGATTTTGATAACTTGTTATGACCATCGCGTTTTCTCTTTTTAAAGGAACGCAAAGGCGTACCACTACCACATGAACAGCTGTTGCCTCGCGGGATTGAAGAAAATTTCTTGGCTAATTTCTATTGTAATTGTAACAACTGTTGCATTTCCGACCGGTTGGATTTTCTAGATGTTTTATCATTACTTGTATTTATGTCTAATGTCTAACTTTGTGTATTCTCGATTGACAACTTTCCTATGAATACTTTTCTAGATATACTCTTGAACATTGAACGTATTTTCTGTTGTTTTTTTGTTTCCAGTGGTCTACAGTTCATTTATGTAGTGTTAATCTGTTTTCCAGCTCTCCAGGTGAAAATGGTGTTGATATCTGTTATGTTTTGTTCTATAAAAATAACCGATTTGTCTACTAGTGTTTAGCTGAAGATTACTTGAACTCATACTGTTAGGCACTCTGTGTAGTGATTGTTACTTTTGTTATGTAACATCTTAGCCTCCTTGATGACAGCTGTTAGACTAAACCGAGAATTGGACTTATCATACTAGTGAGTACTTAGTAACGGTGAATCGGGTTGAAAACAAAATTGAATGGTCATGTATGAAATAATTTGGATTTGGAAATTAGCCACTCAGCATATATACCTTCTGGACTACAAGGGCAATAAAATTATTTTTGATGCCCTAGTAGTACAGTGAATTAGAATGATAGGTTTGTCGAGTACATTGGCAATGGCTAGCGAGCTGCAATATGTTCGATTTTATCATTGATACGGTCGTTAGATAGTGTATAAACACTGCTTATCAAGCTATCAACGATGGATTATTTTCTATTCAACTCTACTTGTTTTACAATATTGGTGAACTGGTTGATCGCTTTTACCACTTCATTTACTTGGAAAGTCGAGTCATTTCTGCTAAGCCAGTGACTAAATGAATCTTCACATGGATGCAAATTCTCATCCATCAGGAGAATATACTGAAATGCATTTGTGCTGAATAGTGTGAACTTGTATTGGTGATGCGGTAAATCATGGATACTGTTCAATTTATCCACTTATACATCTTAGCTAATCAAATTAATTTTCTGACTGATGGGGTTGAGGAATTTCGAGTTACAGTCAATTAGGAAACACCACCACCACCTATTAAGATGGTGAAAATAGTATGTGGTTCAACTTTATGCACCCCATTTCATATCTTTTTTTATTTGATAAACGTAATGAGAAGTTAGTCGTGTATTCTTTGTTTATGTATGAGTCCAAATTAAGGTAGTATGGATACGGAATCGAGGTGAAATGTCTCCGAGTTGTATTGCTAGGACTTGTGCAAGATTAACGTCCACAAGTCGGTCGTTTTAGTCATTTTTATTCGATGTCATCCTATTATCTACATTTGAAGTATTTTCAACAGTAAAAAGTAAACGAACAGAGCATCTTTTCGGGTTGACGCTCGAGGAAGATGGTCTTGGATACATATTCTACTGATCACTATGGATGACTCAAATCAGCTGGTGGATACACAGTGCAAACTTCTCAGAAATTGTATAGTTTCAGTCATAACTGTTTATTTATAAGCTTTTGGTCTAGTCAGTAAACCTTCCTAATGTCGATTTCGCTTCTCACATGTGTACGCGTATTTGAACGTTTTTTATGATGGCTTTACAAACAGGTTTCCTTTATATCTAGTATTGATAGGTAACTATGGATACTAGTGGTTAACCAAATTAAAAGACTAATACATTGCCGTTAAAATCGTATATCAGAATGTAATATTTGGTTTACTTTAATCTTACAGACGTTTATTAGGTAACTCGGACTACACAGCATAGAAGTGAACCCAACAACCTTTGATACCACTCTGGAAGCTTGAGAATTGTAGATATTAGTACTTTCCAACATTTAGTATCAAGGTACCAAGCAGTATTTAAAGGAAAAAACAGTAGAATCAGTGGTTTAAAGTTTTTTGTAAATACCGAGCAACCTACTGGTTTTTAGTTTTCTGTTGCCGATTGGGATACTGCTATGACCTTTTTATATAACAGAAATCATACTAACTGTCCCTCCTCTTAATGCTTGGAAAGTCGACAAAACAGTCCGAAGTGAGTTTTCTGAGTTCGTGGAGATCTCATACTTCCTTTCGGCAGACATTCTACTGCGTAGGATGAATAATATATCACTAGCGGAGCTGTGGGAATAATTTCGCATTGTTAGTACATTTATGCGGTGAACATGTTTGAAGTATGACATCTGGGCTCCTCTTCAATGTTCATTCATGAGTTAAAGCTAATCGAGACCAACACGCCGCTTCTTGACTACTTGTCATCATACTTACTGGATGGTTTATGTGAAGTTGGAGTAAGGTTTCCCTGTTCTCAATACACAGAATGTCGATGTGCAGCTTTTTAATGTTCCTTACTATGGCTTTTTTATCTTCTTATATGCGTAAGTGACTCGCCTCATCAACTGTCTTCCCGAACCACTCTGTTCACCGATTACGTGCAGCTATAGAGAGAGACCAGGAACACAATGTTTCCCTACAGAAGAGTCGAACTTGACTTTAAAACTGAACGAATAACAAGAACTTGCGTTTAACCTAAGACAATGCATGATTGTACTTCTGAAGGCACAATGCATGTCATGTATACGCTCTTATTGGCACAAAGTTAAACGCAGTATTGATCAAAATGGATTAGAAAACTTTGGACGGTTTTTATAACAACTGGTTGAACTCTATCTACATATCTAACTGACATCCAGTCCAGTGGTAGCTGCGTTTGGAACAGATTATGGACATGGGATTACTTTGATAAAAGTTTACGAAACAAAAGTACTAAAGTGGGGTTTCCCGTACTTCAAAAGCTCAGCGTGAAGCGCCGTTAGTTTCAAAGATTGAAATAATTTGTGGAACAAAACAACGCAGTTACTAAAAGAATTGAAGAAAACTGAACTGTCAGTAAATGCGGTGCTGTGAGAAAGGTCACAAGTACTCGAGTTTTCCAGTTGAGTTTGATCCGAAGCATTCCGGGAAACTAACGGTCCCACCGAGGGTTGCTGCTTTCACTTCGCAAAGTTGGAAGGTGTGTCAGTGACAAGGTGGCCGTATGACCATTCTGGGGAGAAGGGATGTCGATTATAATGGTGCCACGTGTAGCATTTATTTCTTACCATTTTTTTAACATTTAATACCTCATTATTGAACGTTTGTTTAATCGTTTGTTCAAAACTTTTGTCGGCTCGTTTGTCAGTGCGACATCCTGCTTTCCACTTCGCGTTATCTCCCGACACTTTCATTGTCTGGAGCAGGTGGATCAGGAGTGTTGGGGATAAAAAGAAGGGCTATAGTGTTGCAGGAAAGTATGTAAATTTTGAGTTAGATATCAGAGCTCGATACCCTCAAGGTAGCTGGTCTCGGACCGCTCATAATAACAGCTCTCTTTCGGCTAGCAACGCAGTCTTTTCTTGTCTCTTGGCAGCTTTAACATGCACAAAGGTTTCGAGTGGTTCGGAAAGTTCCAACCTAAAAAATCAGAACATATGACGCTGTCCGTGAAAAGTAGTTGAAGAAGGCACTGGTCGCTTATGCTCAAACAGGGGCTGGCCTAAGTGACATATTGCAGTTGTGTAACCTGGACTCTAGGACGTTCTGTCAAAAATCGATGCAAAAGCCGGAGTTGAGGCAAACTCACTCAGTAGATGGTGAGTTGTTCCATAAACTAAAGCACAACAGGCATCGAAATTTAATGTACTGCGGATACTGAAACGGAACACTGTCGGTGTTTGTGGATGAAGTTGCTACTCTCAGCTGTTGATGAAGCAGATTTGCCACGTGGTTCTTCAGTGGGCCACAGAATCTTGCTTGAAACCAAGTGAAAATAAGGTTGCAAATAAAGCGTGCAGTAATCCATACTGGAGTTGGCGCTCAAGATTGGTTGTTGCAGAAAACGGAGATCTTCAGTTTGAGATTCACGTTTCGGCTTAGTCACGAACTAAGGTTTCCTAATTAATATCTTGAATGAACACTGCCTCCAGTCATTTCATGAATCCAGTCAAATAGGCAAACCAACGAGTGTTCCTATTAGACTGTTGTAACGACTAAAATATCTCAGTAGAGGTGGTGAGGTGACCGTTAGCCGCTACAGAAAATTGCAAGCGGCTTTCTTCTTACCTGGTAACTGAACACGTGTTGATGGGATGCGCTCGATATGATCCATTCTCTGTCGTCTTTGTGCACCACAAGCCACAAAGGTTGTTGCACTGTGAGTTTGATATCAGTCCTTGTACCTATGAGAGGTTCTCTGGAGAGGTTACGTTGACATCTTGTAGGTCCTGTCAGCCACGCATGACTTGCAGATGCACCTCATAAAATTTCCTTTATACTGAGGCCTGGTAGCCGCATCTGTTGTTTGAGAGTTATGAACGACAGTTCCGGTTTCAACTCAGTATTTGCTTTTTAAAAGCAAGTCATTTCAACATGGTCACTCCCCTCAAAATGGTCTCTTGACATTCAGGATGGTGCGCCAGGTGCTTAATTACTTGCTCGAGGTAGGTGGAGAATTTTGAAGATGAAGTGGAAGAGGCATTCCAGTTCTCATGACTCATGTCAGAGGTAATTGTCAGGTCCTAAGCTAGGGGAGAAGGTGAACAGTCTGCAGCAGACGCCAGGCATGAAGTCAAGATCCTAATGGAGAGCCGAAAGCAGAGCAAGCAAATTGCACCTAGCTCTGAAATCTTACCCACATTTATTTTGACCCATTTCGCTTCTTGTGGCCACTTCAGCAAAAGGCTAGTGGCTGTCAGTGACAGCCGATTAGTCGTTTTAAAATGGCACTGGATGCCAAGTCGCTCCCGTCTTTTGAAGGTGATGTATATGAATTCAGCTGTACCGTCGGTGACTTCTTTGAACCGAGATAATGCAAGTTTAACCTCACTTGAAACACTCACAGTTGGATTTTCTCGGAGATCTGTGAATGGTGTCACAAATGAGTCACATTTGGAAATTAACCCGCTGTAGCAACTTGGTAGGTGACTGGAAATGTGATACTGCTTCCAGCATTTATTCAGGGGTAGCCCAACACAGCCACAAAATATCTATCATTTAGCTCTTAAATCCTTTTCCGATCGTAAACCTGAAGTAACGTGACCCTCTCACACCTTTTACTGGCCGGTAACTGTCATATCATGCCTTTTCTGCCAGCCGAATGCCAGATA